TCTATCTATTAAATCTCATCAGTTCTATATGACAGAATGTATGGGTTCCATTACATCCTCTCAGCTTTCACACAACGTGCTGCTGCTGCTACTGCTGTCTGTCTCCTGGCACACCTCATCCGGAACTCATTCAACCTGACAGTAGTGAGGAGCTGAGGTAGCGAAGGAGACGTATGTCTCTCAGAACGTGGACTGTGGTGCTTGTCGGAGGCCTGTCTGACGTACGTACCGGGGGAACGCTAGCTAATTAGCAGCAAGCAGAGAGCTTAATCCCCATCTAAGTCATTAGGCAGAGAAACAAACAGGGCCCCTCTGACACCCAGCTAAGTGTTGCAGTGGTCTAAACTCCACTCCTCTGTCAAAACAAACCTCCCCCTCTACACCCTAAAAATATCCTTTAGGGGTTCTTCAAATTGAAAATGTGGGGGCATAAAACATAATGAGACAAACCAATACCAATTGTACATACCTTTGTGTGCCTCCTCGACGGTAGGCTATACCTGCAGATACAGACACACACACAAAAGTGAGCAGTTCAGTCATCTGCACCAAATTTAGCTATAGCCTGTAACATATTCTTACCTCTTTTGTTGATTGATATCTATTGAATTGTGTCCATTTTCTGTTTTAGAGAGAACCTTACCTTAAATTGAGGAGATCTTAAAAATGTCAAGTGCCTGCACCTGCTGTCATCATAAATTCAAATCCAAATGTTTCAGTTGGGCAGTTAGGTTCCTGCAAGAACCCCCAAGAACTAAGGAGATTCCTCAATGAACCCTACCTCCTATGGGGTTCTTGGAAGAACCTTTTGGGGCATTTTTCAGTGCCAAGAACCCTAAGGTTCTTCAAGGAACGTTGAGGCTCTTAGAAGAACCCTTGTTGAACTCCTATTTTTTTTGTGTACCCCCCTATCTCTTCTACTCCACAAATCCTGGCCAGGACTGACACACTGAGTAATGAATCCCCTCAGCCTGAATGTGTAATTTAATGGTAGCTCGTGCTCTGTCACTTCCCCCCTCCTGCAATCATAATCCCATATTTTCTTTAATTTATTCCCTTTTCTTTCCTTGATTTGAGTCATCCATGGCACTACGCACTTCAAACTGCCTGGAGGACGGCTCATAATAATGGCTGGAATGAAGTTAATGGTATCAAACACATTGATACCATGTGTTTGATGTGCTTGATACCATTCCATTTGTTCCGTTCCAGCCATTGCTATGAGCCCGTCCTCCCCAATTAAGGTGCCACTGGCCGCCTGTGCCACCTAGATATTAGAGTGCACTCTGGGCAGCCAGGTACCTGTAGTTTGTCCCTTTATCACCATGCCATATTTATAGCTGACAATCAAGCGCAGTGACAGAGACTGTCTGGAGGCACTTCTTGCTGACGTTGTTCAGGTCTTATCGTGATTTTAGTGGATATTTCAGATCAATCTGTCCTGAGATCCACAATTACTGCATGTAAACATCAACGGTGCCCTGCGGTCAGACATATTTCTACACCAATCACTGCTGTGGAAGGAACACAATCACAGAATCACTGATGCAGACAATCACACTAGTTACACAGGCACATTCACATGCTGCCAGAAAGAAAGACACACACACACACTGAATGAATGACGTGGTTTTGAGATGAGTTTGTTCACAGGCAATAGAATTCAGCTCCCAGAGGGACCAGTCAGAAGAATTAATGACTCAGCTACAGACAACTGTTTTGCTACGGGGAAAGCCCTTCATTGCTGATATGACCATAATAAGATCAGATTCATTCAATGCCTAAGGTCAGGGATCAAGGCTGGAAATATGATTACTTATTATTCAACATTCCTGAAATATCTCAGAGATAGACTATTGAACTTTGACCTTGTCAGTGTTTACATGCAACTCTTGTGGAGGAATGGTTTGGGGCACTGAGCAAAGGATGGGTGGATAATATTTTGTTTGGCAGTGAACGTCTCACCTCATACATACAGGCACATTCATTAGGCAGCATGCATCTGATATGTTATAGATTTAATGTGATGTGGAAAAGAATGAAGTGCATTTGGTTGAGGTTGGGTTGAAAGTTCATATGTGATTCATTGTAGTCTAGACAAGCACATCGATTGAATCTTAAAGTTACCAAACCAGTTGGAAGATGGCAGCTCTTTCCAACTGGCCCTAATAGCTGGCACACAGTCACCTTAATCAGCCTCTGGAATTCATAAATTAACAAAGCATTTGCCTCCATATATCTTATGCAGATGAGCATGAGTGTTGACACCTGACCCACACTTGGCAAGCAGCTGCTGGTGATGTGAACAATCCAGGCTCATTTAGATCCAAATGACCCTGGGTGGTCGGACACTCACTCCCTCCCTCTCCACCTCTCCCTCTCCCCCTACTCTGGGTTAGAACACAGAGACACACTACCAAAATCAAGCTCTTACCCTTTCACCTTTGAACTAGTGATGATTTCTGAGTTCACGTTTGAGCTCAGTTAGGCAAATAACCTACATTGACCCCTGATCATAGTGAGGACTTTGTAGCCAGAAGTAGGCAGCTATATCATTTCATTCAGATCAAGGTTTAAATTGTACTCATGCATTCTGACCACCATTTCATGTGTTACCGACACAATGGAACATGGTAAAGAACCTGGTGCAAACATTCCAGTAGCTTTTGCTTGTTAAGTCCGTGTTTATGCTCATAGCTGTAACTCATGTTTCTATTTCCCATAAACAGAATTGACAGAACTTCAAGTCAACAACTTAATAAAGTCCAAAATCGGCCAATAATTATGCTAATTACTATTTTCAAAGTTTACCGAAACAAATAATCACCTCCATTTAGGATGTGATTAATGCTTTACTATTTGCCTTTTGAATAAAAAGAGAAAAAGAAAGGCAAACAATGAGGCTTTTTTCCTCATTGAGTTCTTTGACTTAATTACTTCCGTAGCCTAGCTTAACCCTCAGGAGACCCTGTGGATTCAGGCTTGTGATTAGAGACAGAACAGTGGCCCACAGAACCTAACCAAATGAAAACACCAGCTACAATGTGCAGTTAGGGGGAGAATAAACTGCTATGGCTTAGCATTTTAATTAAACAATCACCCTTTCAGAAATACCACAATTCATTTATATTCCATTTCCTTTTTACAAATCACTATTCCCATTTCAATATCTTGTGTTTCCTTTCCATTGGGGAAAGAGAGAAAGGTGGCAACATCATCAGTATGTAAACATAACATATTGTATTCAGGATGGTTGTGTTAATTGACTGCTTGGCTCCGTTTTGGCTTTTCTGAATGCGCCTTGCTACGGCATTGGGAAAATAGGACAACATTAAGCACTCAGTACTGGCACCCCTTTGTACTCTATTCCAATGTTAGTCAGTATTCAGACTACACACACACAGGCCTGGAGACTCCAACAGGGTCACAGGTAATATGGTGTAAACACCTGCATTTGTAAAGAGAAAATATCATTTAATTATCTGGTCATATAATTCATAGAAAATAATGATCACAGATGTAGGATGATGATAAAAGGACATTTCCAAGTTAATATGTTGACACTATGCTATTTATTTAGATGCAATAAGGAGGAAAGAAAAATGGAAACGAAAGTAGCTACTGAGGCACCTGGTGTGTGTGAAAATAAAATAATTATAATAATAGTATAGTATTTTTGAAAACTATCCATAACACACAATATACTGTAATAAGCATCAGAACATTATTTGCTTCTGAATATTTAAACTACCAAGAGGTTCTTACATCCTACACAGTACTAGGTATGACTTTAATACTTTACCGCAACTGTAATAACATACTGTTTTCATTCTCTTTCAATTACTTTCTCCCTTTTATTGCTCTCTCTTTCACTTGAATAATCTCAGACCTATTATGAGACTGCCAATGCATTTATTTTTCCCTTTAAGCTTTTTCTTTCCTCATGTCTCATCTAAGAAGACCTTTCAGTTAAATCCACTGCTTCAATTACTTATTGTGTGAACTCACCAAGGTGTTAAATTCTATTTCTGGTAACTTTTGCTATCCATATTCATCAGGTCCTCAATATGCTTTAAGGTTTAAAGATTTCATAACTTACCAGTGTTATGAATTAGACAGGCCAGCCGCTTGGCATTAGACTGGACCAGGCTGTATTAATATGTTCAGCTCATTCTCATTTTCACAATATTTCATTTTAGACACCCAATATTCATATCAAGAGCAGGAACATGAGGGTTGATGTATGCGCTGTCCAAATGTGCTGTGATATGGGAAAATAACCTTGTAGATTGTGTACCTTGCCAAACTGTAATGGCATATTCAAGCCATTAAAAATTGTGTAAAGTGGCTACTAATCAATTCTGGCTGTAATTGCTTATTAACAAATGGGCCCTTAAATGTTAATGTGCATTTGGCAGGAGGCTGGAGGCGTGTTGATTAGAATGTTGTGACATATCTCCAGGTTGTCAGTGTGGCCAGCAGTGCCTCATATTTCACAACACATCTGCATCTTTATGCCAACACATTTACCTTGTACGACTCAGTTGCAAAAGGAAAGCCTTCTACCCTAATATTGATGAAACCACAAGCTGTATGTTTCCATTCCAAACAGGTTTACCATAGTGGTCATAGTCAGTAATCATCCTTTGAGTGCTGTTAAAGAAATATGTGTGTGTGTGTGCGTTTGCGCTTGTGTGTGTTGAAGCAGCAGCAAATAGTGTGTACCAAATGAGCTGGATTCTGAATCGAGAGTGAGATGTCTACAGGACTTCAATACGAATGTTATGCTGTGACTGACAGGTCTAGTCATTCTTTGAGCGGTACCTAGAATAAATCTGCTTTTCTACAGGATTCAAAAGTGCTTCTAAGATGATCCCCTCTCATGCAGTGCTCTATTCAAATGGAATTTATCAGCCTATAATGAAGGCAATAACATGTCCACACACTCATTCATACATTGCCTACACACACATAAATATATACCCTTCACACTAAATTTACATTAACACAACTGACATGTTTATTCACACATCAAATCAATTCAAGCACATGTACATGCTCTATAGCTCTTTTCCCTTGTCTGACAATTAATGACATAAAGTGGAAGTGCAATGTTGTGATATCTCTTGTCTCAGTGCTCCAGTTCTTTGACAACTTTTCCAATAAATATTTTATTTGCTTAGTGGAAAGGTAGGGACATGTCATTGTTGTTTCCATGGAAACTCTCATCCATGGTTGTGGAATGGTGTGACAGCTTTGGACTTTGTACTCCTCACAGGTGTCCACCCTCCCTATCTGTCTCACGAGAGGAATGCTTTCTCAAGGGCATCCTTTAAACAGTGTCCTTTTATGTTCACTGATTTCCTTCCCGGCTTTAAAGTGAATACCATAAATCTATCCATTTATTTAAACTTTATTTCTCACTTCATTAGTTTCTGGGACACTGTGTGGCTGGCTCTGAAAAAAAGTTTGGCTCCTTTGAGAGATAAAATGTAATTTCACAGTCAACTTGCTGTGATATAGGCTTTCAAAACAATAGAGTGGGGGCAGATATGAGTCCCACTTGGTTCAGTACTTTGGTGTAGCAGTACATCAGATATATGTCTCTAGGGGGAGTGAGTGGTGGCAGGTAGCAAACATTTTCAAACACCCTCTGCAAGGACTATGGTGTCAGCCATGGCTACTGAACACATTTTGGTGTGAAATATGACTTAGCCTTTTGCAGAAAAGGACCAACTCTATATATACTGTAAATTAAATTCATAATGTTAAATCTCTTGCGAGCACAACTCATTAAAGAATAGCCTAATTGATCATCAGTAATTAACTGATTAGTAGAGATTGTAGGGTGATAATCAGGGCCGAGACAATGAGATAATAATATGGTACTGTATTGCTGTACATAATTCTATACAATGTGGGTGTCTGTTCTCTTTTTAGCCTGCCCGGCTCTGCACGTACACACGCGCACGCACACGCCTCTTTGAAGCTAAACAGATCAGCCAAATGAAAGAATCAAAACATGGTTTATTCCAGTAGCTCTGCAGCCTATTTGCTGTGCTACAGCATCACACACATTGTCAAGCAGAAACATTGCACGGCCTGATAAATGTCTCTCGCTTCATTAGCTGCAGTCTCACACACCATAAAACACCGGGAGTCTATCAGAGATAATAACACCACATACCCACCCCAGGAAGGGAGAGGAAAATCCATGCGCTACATGGGCTAGATTGCAAAAAGAAAAGAACAAAATAAATGAATATCGTTCCACAAATTGTCTCAATGTTTTTCAACGTGTTTTGTTTTGGCACATTAGATCAGAGCCGTAAAGTCAGGCATCTTTGATACCAAGTGTGTGTGTGGGTGTACATGTATGTCCATGGAGATCAGAGTTTGCTGTTCTTCTGAAACTGTGAGACCAAGCCCAGCACCTGCTCTGTGGCTGTGATGACTTTGTTGTGCATGTAGGCAGCACTGTTGGAAGGGGTCTCCTGCAGGAAGTATCTGTAGTTCACCATGATGCCACAGGAGTTGGCCACTCCCCGGGGGCTGGTGTCTGCATGCCAGTTCAGCCTCCACATGGTGGCGCCGTTCTGCAAGTGGAAGTTGGCCACAGGGTTGAGGGTGTAGCCGCGCCTCTTCTCTCCGTAGAGGTACCAGGCACAGAGGCGCATCAGGGCGGGCTCAAGGACTAGGACCAGGCGTTCGGAGCGGGTCCACTCGCCAGTGCTGATCAGCTTACGCAGGGCATCCAGGGTGTTGGTATCAGGGGTTGTGTTTGTGACATCTGCCACCTCCCTCCACTCACGGTCAGTTAGCAGCTCCATGCGGCCCTCCTTCCGGTGCTGGCTGAGCAGGCCCTGTAGCCAGGAGGAGAAGCCCGGGATGGGAGACAGGCTGGAGAACTGGGACATGTGGGGAAATTCACTCTGCAAAAAGATAGACAGAGAGGATAGACCGCCTCAGTCTAAAATGACTTTGTCTACACCAGTTAATGAACAATACCAATGAGGTATTACGGAGAGAAAAGTACATGAAAAAGGTATGAAAAAGTTACATTAAGGAAAGGGTAAGATAGGTTGGATATTATATGTTCAATGATAAATTGTCATCCTGTCGAATTTAAATGTTCTGGACCTGATCATATTCCCAACTGACCATGATTGACTGTCCAAGGGCATGCATTTTCCAAACACTTGATAATGAACCCAGTATGATTTTTATTTTTATTTTTTTTATGTATGCACTCACTAACTGTAAGTCGCTCTGGATAAGAGTGTCTGCTAAATGACTCAAATGTAAAATGTATGTAATACCCCAGTGTCTCTCAGAGGAGCTGAGCTCATTGAACTACCTATCAGATACAAACAGCTTTGTTTCCCACTGCAACACACTGCAACAGCACCAATCAACTCCATCTCCACATATCTGCCATTGGGCTTGATAGAGATGGATGACCCCCTCATTCTCTCGCTCTACCCTGCCCTCCATTTCTCTCTCACTTTTAATACCTTCCAAGCTCTTGACTCTGGTCCCTAGTCCCTCTCTGCCATCATCACATACTGCCTGCCGCCTACGTTTCACTCTCTCCCCCCTTTCTTACCCTTCTTCACAAGTTCTCTTCCTTGCCCTCTCTTTCTTCTTTTACCTGCCCTCTCTCTCCCTCTCTGTTATGTTGGCTCTTGCTTGTCTAGGCTGATAAGGTACAGAGCTGTGTGGTGTGTTGATTCACAGGAGGCAGCAGAGGAGGCAAAGTGTGTCAGACAACCCCTGGAGGCAGATGTTGGAGTGGGCCTTTCCTTCTACCTCTCTCTCCCTCCCTCTCCCTCTTTCTCATTCATTCCTCTGTACTTCCATCACACGAGTCAGTGGATCTGAGGATAACCATGTCAAGAGGTCACTTTCTATTCATCAGTTCAATTTACTGTAAAGCCTTGGTCAGCAGGCTTAGGGCAGACATGCAATCCACAGAGAAAGAAGTACAGGCAAAATGAGAGGGAGACAGAAACGTCTCTAGAGTGTAATGCTGAAAGACAACGGGATCCTCCTCCCTACTTCCTAAATCACACTGTGACCTTCTCTTTCTCTCCCCATCATCCATCCATTGTAGTAGTCCCTCAGTGGCCGTAGAGGTGTTATATTGCCCTTAATGTGGGGCATAACACCGCAATGGTACTGCACACAGTCACAGTGTCAACTTTCTTTGTTTTTTGTCCAAATGATATGAGGGGTTATCAGGATGACCTCAGGATAAAGCCAGAACTAATCGGTCACAAGAAAAGGCTTTGTAAAACAAAATCATGTTTCTGCTTCAATTCAATATCCGCTGAGTTCAGATGGAATCGTGACTACAGATAAAAAGTTCAAGTCTTACAGAACAATGTACATCCCTAGAACTTCATAGATCGATTCACCAATGTCAAGAGTGCAGATTGAACAATGGAGAGGCTAGAATACTGAGGCCAGGACTAATGCAATTGAATAGGGCTACTGTACAATTCAACAAGACACACACTACCTACTCTTATCCTACAAGCTTATACTCTACCAGACTAACAACTACCCTCACATAAAAAATCCCTTGAAAAACATTTGAGTCCATATTTACTATAAATAAAGATTCCAATAAATAAAGGCTTTCATTATCATTTTCTTTGCATGTCATTATTGCAGGATACGACCATTTCAACCTTTCAGACAAGCCTCCCAGCTATGTACAGTGGGGGAAAAAAGTATTTAGTCAGCCACCAATTGTGCAAGTTCTCCCACTTAAAAAGATGAGAGAGGTCTGTAATTTTCATCATAGGTACACGTCAACTATGACAGACAAATTGAGAAAACAAATTCCAGAAAATCACATTGTAGGATTTTTAATGAATTTATTTGCAAATTATGGTGGAAAATAAGTATTTGGTCAGATGAAACCAAAATAGAACTTTTTGGTAAAAACTCAACTCGTCGTGTTTGGAGGACAAAGAATGCTGAGTTGCGTCCAAAGAACACCATACCTACTGTGAAGCATGGGGGTGGAAACATCATGCTCTGGGGCTGTTTTTCTGCAAAGGGACCAGGACGACTGATCCGTGTAAAGGAAAGAATGAATGGGGCCATGTATCGTGAGATTTTGAGTGAAAACCTCCTTCCATCAGCAAGGGCATTGAAGATGAACGTGGCTGGGTCTTTCAGCATGACAATGATCCCAAACACACCGCCCGGGCAACGAAGGAGTGGCTTCGTAAGAAGCATTTCAAGGTCCTGGAGTGGCCTAGCCAGTCTCCAGATCTCAACCCCATAGAAAATCTTTGGAGGGAGTTGAAAGTCCGTGTTGCCCAGTGACAGCCCCAAAACATCACTGCTCTAGAGGAGATCTGCATGGAGGAATGGGCCAAAATACCAGCAACAGTGTGTGAAAACCTTGTGAAGACTTACAGAAAACGTTTGACCTGTGTCATTGCCAACAAAGGGTATATAACAAAGTATTGAGAAACTTTTGTTATTGACCAAATACTTATTTTCCACCATAATTTGCAAATAAATTCATAAAAAATCCTACAATGTGATTTTCTGGAGAGAAAAAATATCATTTTGTCTGTCATAGTTGACGTGTACCTATGATGAAAATTACAGGCTTCTCTCATCTTTTTAAGTGGGAGAACTTGCACAATTGGTGGCTGACTAAATACTTTTTTCCCCCACTGTAAATCCATCAAGTTGAGTGGCTCTTGTTTTTCCATTCAGTGTTCCAATCATTTAATAAGAGCTACAGCTGGAGCACCCTGACACGGAGTGCTTTCCTCTCCTCTCCTCTCCACATGATTCGGTCTGACCGCTGAAATGTCAATATTCCTCTGTCTATCTTGGGTGATATGTGGAGAAGGGCATTCAATCCTGCCGCAATCCGCTCTTTACCCACAAACACAAACCTAACATGCAGGTAGAAATAAAGGACTGTGAGAGTATTTCGTTTAATTGATCTTGTCTAGGTTAAAAAGAGCTTGTCTAGGTTAAAAAGAGCGTGTCTAGGTTATATAACAAGAAATGTCTATCTTATCATAATTACCACTCTTCCCACACTGAAATAGCCTTCAGCTCATGTTGAATTACTGTTGTGATTGACTGCCATGTGTTTATTGGCCATGGCCAGAAGTGCTTGGGGTGTCGTGAGTGGTTGTGGTTCTAAGAAGTTGGTGGAAGTCTGGAGAGAATGGAATTCATAGTGTAAAAGACTCTGACCCTGGAGATGGCTAATAAATCACGTATTATGACGCAGCGGAACAGCTGATTGACTCAGGAAACGTTCCATAGTGTTCAGACGTGGAGGCCCAGTCCGACTTTCCCTGTCAGCCTGCTCATTGAGACAGTGGTGATGTGATGTCATTCTCCACCCACCTGCAGCTCCCGCACCACTCTCTTGATAAGAACGTTCCCCAGCTCCACCCCCTGTAGGCCAGCCTGGGTGGAGGAGATGGAGTAGAACACTGCTGTATTGACCTTGTTCACATCCTCCTCCATGTCCAGGGTAGCCAACTCTCTCACGATACTCTATGGGACAAGAGAAACAACATTGTTGGAGTCAGACATCCAGTCTATTATCAAATTGTGGTCTCGTGTACTGAAAAGAGGAACAGTAATGACTCTACATAACAGCTGAACAAACGTCTCAATTTCTGCATTCTCTCTCATATTCAATAAACCAGGTCTTCCATATAAAACCTCTCACTTGTATGTTATCAGAGATATCCTCTGTGAGTGCCACATGCAGGACGACCAGTGGTTCCCCTGGCATGGCAGCGTGAGTGAAGGCATAGCAGCGACGGTACGGCCCCACCCTACGTTTTATATCTGTCCAGTTCCTCACAGGGTGGACAGCCTCGTACCTGCCAGGACATACACACAGTCAGACATGGGTTTAGCGTTTGTGTGTGCATACTGTAGAGCTATAAGTGTGTGTGTGTGTGTGTGTGTGTGTGTGTACTACAGGGGCTTCTTACTGGCTGATCTTCTGCAGTATCTCGCAGGGGGACTGCCAGGTGATCCTCTCCAGACGCAGCAGACCCACAGAGAACCACTCCGACAGCAGACTCTTCAGAGTGCCATTCAGGTCCTGCAACATCAGAACCCAGAGGTAAAGCTCCTGTGTGCTCTGGCCAGTTACTTGATAATTAGTCAGTTATGAGAGAGACTAATAAGATCCAAATACAGGATGTAGCGGCTACAGTGTGGCTGACCCTAAAACACAAACAGAACTGCCACAAATAAGCTATTTCTATTTACCTATTAACAAAAACATTTGCTTACTGATTAAAGTGATAATTTAAAGCATATTAGTGCCTCAGAGCACCACACTCCCAGTCCCAGCACCTGACTAATGTCATCCAAATGGTTTAAGCACACTGAAAATGAGCTGCCATAGTGCTTACGGTGTTCTTTTTTTCTCAATCTGTAACTAGTGTCACCTTAATAACACTGTGAACAGCTCAATCAGTTCACTTAAGTATAATTTACAGAGTAGACCTGACTGTCATCACACGATCTAGTGACTGACAGCAGCATTAATAACATTCAGCCTAGCGTCCCTCGCAGGCTGGTATCAAAGGCATGGCTGTCACATAATCCTGTAGTTCCATGATCATCTACTACACTATATAAGGCCTACTTTTTGTCGGTGTATGTTCTCCTGGGCGTTTGTTTGTTTTTATTATATATGTTGGTAGTGACGATGGCACAGGTGGATCTGGAGCCTACAGTACTGTATATGGGGAGACATAGGACTCCTACTTCAATAAACACATTGCCATATGAGCAGGGTATAGTCCTCCTCCAAGGATCTGACTTCATTATAGCAGAGAAAGGCTCTCTCAAAAAACAAACAGTACACACATTCAGAGGGAAACACACAAATCCACACCATTATACCTGCATAAACTCACACCGAGTTAAGGCTAGACGTACTCTATTCTGTCCATCTACAGCAGCACCTGGCAAGTCAACAGCCAAACACTGTACCTGCCAATAATAATGTGCACTAAAATAGTTAGTGAGTGCATACATTCTTTTTTATACTGGCCCCCCGTGGGAATCAAACCCACAACCCTGGTGTTGCAAACGCCATGCTCTACTGAGCTACATCCCTGCCGGCCATTCCCTCCCCTACCCTGGGCCAATTGTGCGCCGCCCCATGGGTCTCCCGGTCGCGGCCGGCTACGACAGAGCCTGGATTCGAACCAGGATCTCTAGTGGCACAGCTAGCACTGCAATGCAGTGCCTTAGACCACTGCGCCACTACACCCTCTGTGTTCCGTTAGACAGGTAACTCTTTATCCACAATATAGCAGGGGGTGTAACGCCATAACACAAGTTTTTCCAGCAACAGACTATGATCGATAATGTCAAAAGCTGCACAGAAGTCTAACAAAACAGCCCCCACAATCTTTTTATCATCGATTTCTCTCAGCCAATCATCAGTCATTTGTGTAAGTGCTGTGCTTGTTGAATATCCTTCCCTATAAGCGTGCTGAAAGTCTGTTGTCAATGTGTTTACTGTAAAATAGCATTGTATCTGGTCAAGAGTTGGTAACAGGCTGATTGGTCGGCTATTTGAGCCAGTAAAGGGGGCTTTACTATCCGTAAGGAGGGGAATAACCAGGCCTGAGGGCACACACTTTCTAATAGGCTTAAATTGAAGATATGGCAAATAGGAGTGCCAATATTGTCCGCTATTAAATTACAATGCTTGTCTTTCATAATTTTGTCAGATATACTTGGATGTGTAGTGTCAGCGTTTGTTGCTGGCATGTCATGCCTAAGTTTGCTAATCTTGCCAATGAAAAAGTAATTAATGTAGTTGGCAATATCAGTCTGTTTTGTGATGAATGAGCCATCTGATTCACTGAATGATGGAGCAGAGTTTGCCTTTTTGCCGCAAATTTCATTTAAGGTGCTCCAAAGCTTTATACTATAATTATTTATGTAATTTATCTTTGTTTCATAGTGTAGTTTCTTCTTCTTTTTATTCAGTTTAGTCACATGATTTCTCAATTTGCAGTACGTTTGCCAATCGGTCGTACAGCCAGACCTATTTGCCATTTATTTTGCCACATCCCTCTCAACCATACCATTTTTCAATTCCTCATCAATCCACAGGGATTTAACAGTTTTTACTGTCATTTTCTTAATGGGTGCATGCTTATTAGTAACTGGGATAAGCAATTTCATAAATGTGTCAAGTGCAGCGTCTGGTTTCTCCTCATTACACACCACGGACCAACAAATATTCTTTACATCAACAACATAGGAATCGCAACAAAACTTATTGTATGACCTCTTATACACAATGTTAGGCCCAGCCTTTGGAACTTTGGTTTTCCTAGATATGGCTACTATATTGTGATCACTACATCTGATGGATTTGGATACTGCTTTCAAACAAATTTCTGCAGCATTAGTAAAGATGTGGTCAATACATGTTGATGATTTCATTCCTGTACTTTTGTAACTACCCTGGTAGGTTGACTGACAACCTGAACCAGGTTGCAGGCACTGAGTGGGCCTATGGGTGGGCCTATGCCTGGGAGGGCATAGGCCCACCCACTGGGGAGCCAGGCCCAGCCAATCAAAATGAGTTTTCCCCCACAAAAGGGCTTTATTACAGAGAAATATTCAGTTTCATCAGCTGTCCGGGTGACTGGTCTCAGACGGTCCCGCAGGTGAAGAAGCCAGGTGTGGAGGTCCTGGGCTGGCGTGGTTACACATGGTCTGCGGTTGTGAGGCCGGTTGGACGTAGTGCCAAATTCTCTAAAACAACGTTGGAGGCGGCTTATGGTAGAGAAATGAACATTTAATTATCTGGCAACAGCGCTGGTGGACATTCCTGCAGACAGTATGCTCCCTCAAAACTTGAGACATCTGTAGCATTGTGACAAAACTGCACATTTTAGAGTGACCTTTAATTGTCCCCAGCACAAGGTACACCTGTTTAATGATCATGCTGTTTAATCAGCTTCTTGATATGCCACACCTGTCAGGTGGATGGATTATCTTGGCAAAGGAGAAATGCTCACGAACAGGGATGTAAACAAATGTGTGCACAAAATTTGAGTGAAATAAGCTTTTTGTGCGAATGAACAATTTCTGGGATATTTTATTTCAGCTCATGAAACAAGAGACCAACACTTTACATGTTGCGTTTTTTTTTTCTTCGTTTTTTTACGTTTTGTCCCACCCTTACATATTTACTTATCTAGCTGAATTTCACACTGGAAATACACTCAACTGAATTCTTCTGCTGCTCTATGTTCGCTACATACTGTACCTCATTGTGGAGAAGAAACTAACATCCGTGGGTGTGACGTAGCGTTTGGCCGGAGCAAGGATTTTGGGTAGCCAGGCAACCACATATCCCCCAGGGCCAAAAACTTCTACAAAACAGCACATTTGAAGTGTGTCAGAGTGTGTGTTTATGTGTCTTTGATCACTCACACCAGAAAAAGCCAAACTTAGAATCTGATAACAGGAGCAAATAAATAATTTTGAGATTGATGAAAAACCCTGAAAAAGCATTAAGATATCATGCCATGTCGACACATAAAACCGCAGCTGCCGCCTTGCCTCTGGATTAAAGAAGCTCCCAATTCTTAGTCACACAAAAGAAAAGAAAAACTCAGGGACAAATCTGCATTTCATTGACCTTGCGGCAGATGAAAACCTTTGAAATGGAAGAGTCGCAATAGTCAGGTTTAGTGACATGGAAGTAGAGGGGAGAGCAAGAGAAGAGGCTGAGGAATCAAAGACCTTGAAATAAAACTGTTTAACCCCCCTTCTCTAGTCTGAATGGCTGTGACAATAATGTGAGCCTTTGAAAAAAAGCTTGTGAGATTCTAATCCTTGATAGAAAATTTAATTTTCTTTCATTGGCGCTGTACCAGTAAAATTAGAAATTAGTGTTACAGTATATGCCATTGAAGACATTGATTTGGAATTTGCACCATTGCGACACAGTTGCTAGTATTGCATGCACAAAGAGAACCATAACGAAACTGTGATGCATATGAAACAGGAACCAAAGCCAAAGTTATTCCATTGTGCATTCAACATTTCCAGGGTGCAACAGGACAGCCTCCCAGCCCCTACTACACTATGTGCCTTTTGCTCCAGTAGGCCTAGATGACATGTGACAGACTTAGGCTAAAATTGCCTCTGAGAAACCACAACCAATGTACTTGTCAAATGTAAGGGACCAGTAAACAGAAGTCACAGCAGAAGTATATTATGAATCCCTGTTATTTTCCTAATCTCTCACCTCCCAGGTAATTATGTGCATAGGTAAAGAAGAATAAAAAACGGTGAGAGAAAATACAAAATCGATAGAAACAAACAAATCTACTGTAGAATTCAAAGTGACACTTCTAAAGAACCTTGGTAATTGCAGTCTTGAGAATTCAGAACTTTTATAAGGCCCATTTGATATTTCATAGTTTTTTTTAATCACTTTTCTGCTTGACTCGCTGCGGTTTTAATTACTATTATGTTTATGAATACCTCTTTCTTTCCTCCCACGGACACATTGTAGGTGAGAGGCTCTTATTTTACTCTCACCTATTCCATTTAAACCCCAATTTTCTTTCCCCAAAGTAAGGGAGACATTGTGTACAGTACAGCTATTCTCGCCTACTGAATTGACAGTGCCACCTTTTTTAAAGGAACTCCTCTGGGTGAAATACTGTACATCATACTTAGCATCTTTCTCAAACACAGGTAAAGAGCTGGTGCAGCAGAACATAAATGGATAAACAAATCCCTGTGTGAGTTAACTAATATATAAGAGGCCAAATAATAACTGCGGGAAGATGCTAGTAAACTGAGTCAAGCATTTCCCAATTGATGACCAATTAGATTGTCCAGTTTTAAGAAATGTTCACATTCAGTGCAAATGCCCTTTCACCTCCACGTCCCACATCACCCAAGATGGAGAAAAGGGAACAATATGTTCTATATGAAATGAGGCCTTTGTCGGACAGACTGATGTGGGTACAACTTGGTAACTTGCCTCAATAAGGGATGGGAGAGTGATGGGAGCAAAAAATCTGATTCTATAGATATTTAAACAGCTGGCACAAACAGTTGTGGCCAAATATATTGGTGCCCTTGCACTTTTCTTAAATAATTCCCTTTTTCTTCTGATATAAGTTGAAATGGAAAAAAAATGTCTCCACACCTTGTTATTAGATTTTCAACATTGCAGAACCAATTTTATTTTTGAAAACTTAAGTTTACAATTGTAATTGAGAAAATAAAGGCAAATGGCATGGACTAGAAAATTAGAGCAGTTTGCTGCTGAAAAGTGGGACAAATTGTAAGTAGAAAGGTGCAGCAAGCTCATTGATGGCTACAAGAAGCGTTTATCTGCAGTTATCTTGGCCAAAGGCTGTGCAACCAAGTACTAGCTCCAGGGTGCCAATACTTTTGTCGATGCCATTAATCTTTTTTTCTAAATTAAAATTGTCAACTTCAGTTTACAAAAATAAATGTGGTTCTGCAATGTTGAAAACATATTTTTAGAATAAATAGGGAATTTCTGAGAAAAGTGCAAGGGTGCCAATATATTTGGCCACAACTGTATATTACCCCCAGGAACCTTTCCATGAAACAACTCTATGTAAATATAGGAGGTTCAATGCACCTGAGGTGATAGCCAAACATAAATAATATAGTCACTTCTGTCCTGTTAAAGTGGGTAAAAGTTTAGAGAGGGGAGATAGCCTATGCCAGGGATCATCAACTACACTGAACAAAAATATAAACGCAACATGCAACAATTTCAAATATTTTACTGAGTTACAGTTCATATAAGGAAATCAGTCAATTTAAATAAATTCATTAGGACCTAATCTATGGATTTCACAAGACTTGGAATACAGATATGCATCTGTTGGTCACAGACACTGTACCTTAAAAAAAGGTAGAGGCATGGATCAGAAAACCAGTCAGTATCTGGTGTGCCAACCATTTGCCTCATGCAGCGCCACACATCTCCTTCACATAGAGTTGATCAGGCTGTTGATTGTGGCCTGTGGAATGTTGTCCCCCTCCTCTTCAATGGCTGTGCGAAGTTGCTGGATATTGGCGGAAACTGGAACACGCTGTCGTACACGTCAATCCAATGCATCCCAAACATGCTCAATGGGTGAAATGTCTGGTGAGTATGCAGGCCATGGAAGAACTGGGACATTTTCAGCTTCCAGGAATTGTGTACAGATCCTTGTGACATAGGGCCGTGCATCATCATGCTGAAACATGAGGTGATGGCGGTGGATGAATGGCACGATAATGGGCCTCAGGATCTCATCACGGTATCTCTGTGCATTCAAATTGACATCTGCAAACCGCTCGCCCACACGACGCCATACACGCTGTCTGCCCAGAACAGTTGAAACCGGGATTAATCGAAGGTGAGCATTTGCCCCCTGAAGTCGGTTATGACACCGAACTGCAGTCAGGTCAGCATGCAGATGAGCTTCCCTGAGACGGTTTTTGACAGTTTGTGCAGAAATCCTTTGGTTGTGCATACACACAGTTTCATCAGCTGTCGGGGTGGATGGTCTCAGACGATCCGGCAGGTGAAGAAGCCGGATGTGGAGGTCCTGGGTTGGCGTGGTGACACGTGGTCTGCGGTTGTGAGGCCGGTTGGACGTACTGCGAAATTATCTAAAAACGACGTTGGACGCGGCTTATGGTAGAGAAATTAACATTCCATTATCTGGCAACAGCTCTGGTGGACATTCCTGCAGTCAGCATGCCAATTGCATGCTTCCTCAAAACTTGAGACATCTGTGGCATTGTGTTGTGTGACAAAACTGCAGATTTTAGAGAGGCATTTTATTGTCCCAGCACCTGCGTAATGATCATGCTATTTAATCAGCTTCTTGATATACCACACCTGTCAGGTGGATGGACTATCTTGGCAAAAGATAAATGCTCAGTAACAGGGATGTAAACAAATTTGTGCACAACATTTTAGAGAATAAGCTTTTTGTGCGTATGTAACATTTCTGGGATCTTTTATTTCAGCTCATGAAACATGGGACCAACACTTTACATGATGTGTTTATATTTTTGTTAAGCTTAGATTCGTGGGTGGCTTTTGACCATTTATTTTGATTCCTTATGTCTTACTCATTGTTAGAAAAAAGTTTGGCCCAAATCAGATGATGGGTACTATATTTATTAAATATTATATGAATCCTATAAATTAAAATTGCCAATTTTGGTGCAATCACTTAGCTTAATTTCTCAGCGATCAAACTATATTTCAACAAAATAACGATGCAGGAATGCTAATCTTATCTGTTTCTAACTACAGAAACGATTTCAGAACAATCTGAGATGGTGGGTGTCATGGCTTGCTGAAATGACATGGAACGACCTCAATGACACACTTTAAAAATAAAACTACCCCATATGATTTTTAAATGCTTGGATCAGTCCTAGTTTCTTCACTAGGGCAAAAGTGATCAGAGATTAACTGCTCTAGCAGTCTGTTGAAATGGGACACCAATACCAATGTAGGTCAAATGGGGCTTCCATGTCATACAACTTTGTCAACACCTCTATTTAGTATAGTACATTAGGCCTGCACCTGATTTGCCTTTGACACACAAGTTTTAAATAAATGTACTATACATTGGGTACATTGTATAAGGCACCTACATCTGTTTTGTTTCTTGGCATTAAATATAGCAACATGTCATCTATTAGCTTGTTTGTAAACAAGTCACGTGTTCTATGTTATATTCCATATTTTCCATTGGAAGAACTTCAATTTTCAATCACACTTGCCTGGTTATGGCAGTAGAACTGCCTCCATTTAGTGAACTTTAGTTTTTGGGCAGGTGCAGTCAGACAATTGTGTTAATCTTTATTGTTATCTATTTCCCAAATACTCAGAATAAATAAAAAGTCGATTCCAAGGACGGAAACACGTGTACCGTTGTGTAGAATTCCTGGCTGCACCTGTCAAATATTTCCAAAACGCGCTACGGGAATTGACATTAGCGGGCCACCATATAATATTGTAAACAATGGCTTTACCCGAATATGAGGACTGTCACTTCCTTTAGATGAGATTATTTCAAGCAGATCGGCACGTAGGTCCACCAGAAACTTCACTCCCCCCTCAACCCTGCTTATGTGATTAAGCAACTGTTTATAGCGCGGAGTCAGACTGTATCGTAACCTGTCCTCTACTTGCAATATTGTAGCCAAGTCCCTTAACTGAGTGTCGAGCAGCATCCCTGCTAGCTCTGAAACTCCTTTGTGGTCCACACCAAAATCTTCTGACAGCTTTGCCAGTAATTGTGACTTCTCTTCCTTTTCAAGGCTTCTGTAGAAATGCATGAATTCCACACTGTACGATTCAGGGGGAGGAGGGGACTTCTCTCTCATCTCGTATGTAGGTAACCGTACCACAACCCTCGTCAGTATTTCCTCCATGGATCTGACAGTGCCAGGCGCCGAGGTAGACCGACAGCGCCCGCTTCGAAAGTCCAAGGCCTCGAGCCGTAAAGCCGTTACCAAAACACTTCGATATCGCCAGCACCTCACACCACTGCGCAATGTACAAATTATGTGCTGGGGAATCATCGCAGTCTGGAAGTTCTCTCTTTACAGTTGTAAATATTTCCAGTACCACCCGGTGCGCAACCTGATCCTTTCCGGTATCTTATTAAAGAGACAGTACAACAACGATCACAGCCGAGCCTGAAAGAAATAATGCTATTAAAAATAAAAAATAAATCCAAACTGTTTTCCCAATGACACCTCAAAATACTAGGTTTAGTCTTTGAATCTACTTTTTATTCCACGTGGTCGACCTTTGCCTCTTGTGTGTATGGGAGAGCAATTATGTAACAAAAAGAAAGCTTGGATTGGAAACGAGTGAATAGGTGTAGGTATGGTGAAACGAAAATTCCACCCAGCCAACCAAAAACGATGTATATGACCCTAAAATACTACTTTATTAAATACATATTTAATTCCTCCATTAAAATAATCACTGCGCTTCAAGAGCAACTTTGTTTACAGCACAGGGTTTGCTGATATGCGGATAGCTGCATTATTGAGGAAAGTGTTTACTTGCTATAACTGTGACATGTGGTTGTTTTGTGTAAAATGCTTGCTTACGCCAATCCAGTCGTCAGATCAGTTATAACCTACTTCAAGGGAGAGGAAGCTAGGACTCGGGAATAATACGTAAGAGTATTAGAATAGGGCCTGTCAGAAAGCAAATAGAAGTGCATATTTAAAATAGATAAAATTATACCATATTATTTTAACATATTTATTGCTGTGCTATGAGTGTCCTTGTTTACTTTATTACTGTACTTTCGTAATATAACCCCATAAATAACACGTTAGCTGCAGTAAGGCGTATTCTCAGACAGAGGGCGTTGATCGCCAGCTAATTAACTTCTTCAGCCAATCAGAGTCAATAGCGTTGAATTTGGACTTCTAGAAATCTCGCGCTACTTTATAAAGACAGAGCGCGCCAGAGCGGTTTGGATATTTCTGCCGTACACCAAGACATAGCCAGCCAGTTAGCCATTTGTAGCTAAAGTAATCAGTGTCAAGGCCAAATTTAGCGCACAGGAGAAGTGGTAAGCATGTGGTACTGGTCATTGAATTGTCTAGCTAACCACACACCGCTATTTAGCTAGCTACCGTAGCTAAGCAAATATGGGTTAGTATAGTACAGTAGTATGTATGCTAATCCATGTGGCCGGGATATTTTGTTCGCGCTAGCAACCCATCGCATCAGGCAATATGTTTTGCTGTTCAGAGCTAATCACATGACATTTTGAAAATGCACGTGTGCAATTTGTCTGTCATTTTTACCGCGCTTCAATGCTTGTCATGTTAGCGCTGCCATCTGAACTAACAAACCATTCTGTACCTAGTAAATCATTCTGCTAACTAATGAATGGACTGTATTACAGTGCTCTGTAGGAGATGGACAGAGAGGTTGGCCAAGCCAAAGGAGTGAAGGCCAAAGCGAGGACACCCAGACCGAGGAGGCTGACTGATAAGAAAGGAGGCTCAGGTGGAGACGCACCTAGGAAAAGGTGAGTCCAGACAGTGACATTGACTCTGCACCGGTACCCCCTGTATATAGCCTCTCTACTGTTATTTTATTTTACTTTTGCTATTTTTTCTCAACTCTTTGTTTTATTTTACTTTTTTATTAAGAAATAAATGCATTGATTGTTAAGGGCTGTAAGTAAGCATTTCACGGTAATGTCTACACCTGTTGTATTCGGCGCATGTGGCAAATATAATTTGATTTGACATACAATGTCCTATAATATGTGCAATATCAATCTCAGTAACACATCAGTCATAGGCATCCATTAATTTATCTTCCTCACTATCTCTAAGACCCAAGTAGTACATATTACACACCAGCTAGGCCTAATCTGAAACATATGTTCACTACAGCATTCACTTTTTTTTGTATCTCTCATTATGTAAAGATGGGCTTGTATGTAGGTAGTTAGTCACTACCTTTTCCACCCACTGCACCCAAACTTTCTTCATGGCTTCGATACTTCTGAATTACAGTTAACTGAAACAACAGTCAACATTTTCCCATTATTATACACATCACATCTCTGTGGTGTAGACACGCAGAATATTGCAAAAAATGGAGACAAATTAAGTCTCCAAACAAACAATCTGCACCAGCAATTGTAAATCTAGCAAGGTGTGCACAATGAGTGAGTGTGTGGGTGCCTGCTTTCATTAACCAGAGTAGGGTACTCCATCTTTATATGAATACATTAATTCTCCTTGATATTTGATACATTATATGAGCAGACAAATGAATCCAGAGTCATCCATCACTGGCGTGTGTAATTAATGGGATGAAAGAGAAGAATAGACACCTGTAAGCATGACTGGCAGCAGCCTTCTGTGACAGTCCCTGATGACATTTCATGGCAGACTAGAGTTAAGTTGGAGGTTACCAACTCAGAGGGAAATATGACAATAACCTCTTTTTCTCCCTATTCGTCTGTTCTGATGGTCTGACAGTACAAAGCCCAAGAAGGAAAGAACTAAAGCCACAGAGAAGTCTCAGCAGGCAGAAAAAGAAAAGGGCCAGAAGGTAAATCACTGTCTTAAATCATACACTACATATTGTAAGTGTGTTTGTAGTAGCTTAATAGTTGTGGCAGTAGTGCTATCAACAGGAGCAGCTGTAGTAGTAGCAACAGCATGTAGGCCTAAATCACCACCGCTACAGCTTATGTGACTTAAATTTGTACTACTGGATAGTTATCCTCATACTGAATCTCTCAATATAGGGAGAGGGGTTTTCACATACATCCTACAATTTTATTTTTGATTGAATTGCTACGTTATTCACAGGTCCTTTGTAGCCCTTTGTTACTTGATATGTGTAGCAATTTACTTAGTACATTTATTTAGTTCTTCATTATCTAGTCTAATTCTGTATTAGGTCAAAGTACCACTTTGCAGTTTCTGTTTTTGTCCCGTATGACTATAATATATGTCTGTCTCTAATAATGTCCGGAACAGAGTGTTTGATGTACAGTACCAGTCAAAAGTTTGGACATCTACTCATTCAAAGGTTTTTCTTTATTTTTACTATTTTCTACATTGTAGAAAAGTAGTGAAGACATCAACACTATGAAATAACACATATGGAGTCATGTATGAACCAAAAAAGTGTTACAGATCAAAATACATGTTATATTTTATATTCTTCAAAGTAGCCACCCTTTGCCTTGACAGCTTTGCACACTCTTGGCATTCTCTCAACCAGCTTCATGAGGAATGCTTTTCCAACAGTCTTGAAGGAGTTCCCACGTATGCTGAGCACTTGTTGGCTGTTTTTCCTTCACTCTGCAGTCCAACTCATCCCAAACCATCTCAATTGGGTTGAGGTCAGGTGATTCTGGAGACCAGGTCATCTGATGCAGCACGCCATCACTCTCCTTGGTCAAATAGCCCTTACGCAGCCTGGAGGTGTGTTTTGGGTCATTGTCCTGTTGAAAAAAAATGTATAGTCCCACTAAGCCCAAACCAGATGGGATGGCGTATCGCTGCAGAATGCTGTGGTAGCCATGCTGGTTAAGTGTGCCTTGAATTCTAAATAAATCACTGACGGTGTCACCAGCAAAGCACCCCTACACCATCACACCTCCTCCATGCTTCTCGGTGGGAACCACACATGCAGAGATCCTCCGTTCACCTACTCTGCGTCTCACAAAGACACGGCGGGTGGACTCATCAGACCAAAGGACAGATTTCCACCAGCCTAATGTCCATTGCTCGTGTTTTTTGGCCCAAGCAAGTCTCTTCTTCTTATTGGTGTCCTTTTAATAGTGGTCACTTTGCAGCAATTCGACCATGAAGGCCTGATTCACGCAGTCTCTTGAACAGTTGACGTTGAGATGTATCTTGAACTCTGTGAAGCATTTATTTGGGCTGCAATCTGAGGAGCAGTTAACTCTAATGAATGTATCCTCTGCAGCAGAGGTAACTCTGGTTCTTCCTTTCCTGTGGCGGTTTTCATGAGAGCCAGTTTCATCATAGCGCTTGATGGTTGTTGTGACTGCACTTGAACTTTCACATTTCTTGAAATTTTCCAGATTGACTGACCTTCATGTCTTAAAGTAATGATGGACTGTTGTTTCTCTTTGCTTATTTGAGCTGTTCTTGCCATAATATGGACTTGGTCTTTTACCAAATAGGGCTATCTTCTGTATACCACCCCTACCTTGTCACAACACAACTGATTGGCTCAAATGCATTAAGAAGGAAAAATTCCACAAATTAACTTTTAAGAAGGCACACCTGTTAATTGAAATGCATTCCAGGTGACTACCTCATGAAGCTGGTTGAGAGAATGCCAAGCGTTTGCAAAGCTGTCATCAAGGCAAAGGGTGGGTACTTTGAAGAATCTAAAAAATAAAATATATTTTTAAAACTTTTTTTGTTTACTCCATGATTCCATATTTGTTATTTCATGGTTTTGATGTCTTCAATATTATTCTACAATGTAGAAAATAGTAAAAATAAAGAAAAACCCTTGAATGAGTAGGTGTGTCAACTTTTGACTGGTAATGTATGGCGCAGCGGTCTAAGGCACTGCATCTTAGTGCTTGAGGCGTCACTACAGACCCCCTGGTTCGATTCCAGGCTGTATCACAACCGGCCGTGATTGGGAGTCCCATAGGGCGGCGCACAATTGACCCAGCGTTGTCCGGGTTTGGCCGGTGTAGGCCGTCATTGTAAATAAGAATTTGTTCTTAACTGACTTGCCTAGTTAAATAAAGGTAAAATAAAGATGCACTGTATTCAGACCCCTTGACTTTTTTCCACGTTTTGTTACTTTACAGCCATATTCTAAAATTGATTAAATAAAACATTTTCCTCATCAATCTACACAATACCTCATAATGACTAAGCGAAAACAGGTTTTTATACATTTTTGCACATTTTATTAAAACTAAGAAAACAACAACTTATGTAAATAAGGTTTCAGACCCTTTGCTATGATAGTCGAAATGGAGCTCAGGTGCATCCTGTTTGCATTGATTTATCCTTGAGCTGTTTCTACAACTTGATTGGAGTCCACCTGTGTTAAATTCAATTGATTGGACATGATTTGGAAAGGCACACACCTGTGTATATAAGGTCCAACAGTTGACAGTGCATGTCAGAGCAAAAACCATGACGTTGATGGAATTGTCCGTAGAGCTCAGAGACAGGATTGTGTCGAGGACAGAGCTGGGGAAGGGTACCAAAAGATTCTGCTGCATTGAAGGTCCCCAAGAACACAGTGGCCTACAGCATTCTTAAATGGAAGAAGTTTGTAACCACCAATACTCTTCCTTGAGCTGGCCAAACTGAGCAATCAGTGGAGAAGGGCCTTGGTCAGGGAGGTGACCAAGAACCCAATGGTCACTCTAACAGAGCTCCAGAGTTCCTCTGTGGAGATGGGAGAACCTTCCAGAAGGAGAACCATCTCTGCAGCACTCCACCAATCAGGCCTTTATGGTAGAGTGGCCAGACGGAAGCCACTCCTCAGTAAAAGGCACATGACAGCCCGCTCGGAGTTTGCCAAAAGGCACCTAAAGAACGCTGACCATGAGAAACAAGATTCTCTGGTCTGATGAAACCAAGATGGAACTCTTTGTCCTGAATGCCAAGCGTCACGTCTGGAGGAAACCTGGCACCATCCCTACGGTGAAGCATGGTGGTGGCAGCATCATGCTGTGGGGATATTTTTCAGTGGCAGGGACTGGGAGACTAGTCCGGATCGAGGGAAAGTTGAACGGAGCAAAGTACAGAGAGATCCTTGATGAAAACCTGCTCCAGAACCTCAGACAACGACTCTAAACACACAGCCATGACAACGCAGGAGTGGCTTTGGGACAAGTCTCTGAATGTCCTTGAGGGGCCCAGCCAGAGCCCGGACTTGAACCGGATCTAACATCTCGGGAGAGACCTGAAAATAGCTGTGTAGTGACGCTCCCCATCCAACCTGACAGAGCTTGAGAGAATCTGCAGAGAATAATGGGAGAAACTCCCCAAATACAGGTGTGCCAAGTTCGTAGCGTCATACCCAAGAAGACTTGAGGTTGTAATCGCTGCCAAAGGTGCTTCAACAAAGTACTGAGTCTGAATGCTTATGTAAATTTGATATTTCTGTCTTTTATTGTTAATAAATCTGTAAAATTCTAAACCTATTTTTGCTTCGTCATTATGGGGTATTGTGTGTGTAGATGGAGGGGGGGGGGGGGGGGACTATTTTAATACATTTTAGAATAAGGCTGTAAAGTAACAAAATGTGGAAAAAGTCAATGGGTCTGAATACTTTCTGAATGCACTACGTGTGTATGTGTGTCTTTAATATGTATGATAATTGTGCTGAGCTCTGACTTGTTTTTCTGTTTTCCCTCTATTAGGTCAAGGCTGTCAAAACAGAGAGCGTGGAGAGCTTTGATGACGATGTGAGGTGGGCATTTTCCCCTGAGACTGCATTTGATTAACAATGTTGTTAATGAGAGAGCTAATTATCATGGCTTTACTCTCATAGCATTTCTGTTGCAGTTGAGTGGCTTGATATCGCTCAAAGTGTCATATCAGCACCTTTCTGCTGCCATTGGAAATTAGTTTTAATCCATTAACGTTTCAAATGGAGGGTGATGGAAATTAATTTTAGTTTTGGATTTCCGAGAGCCTGGACAGGATCCATTCCCCTTTTTTCAGGGAGCGTTGGCTATCAGGAAATTTAATTTCCTGCTGTGTTGAAGAAAAATCTGTGGCTTGTCAGAAAAGCAATAAATTAGAAACCGTCGTGTTCTGAGGGGATGGATGGTGGGAGTTTAGGCCAGGTCTGAAAGGTACAATCCACTACAGATAACGGTATCGGTTTTGCTTCCTTACGGTCACAGTGACTAAATGAATGACATACATTTAAGCCACTGTTTATGGACTCTCTCTTAGACTTACTCAGGCTGTTTCTCCCTCACAGACAAACCTATTGGCATTATGACATTTTCCTAATCCTATTGAAGTCTACTTCTCTCACTTAGGAAATGGAAATAATATTTTGATTGATTACCATACAGGAATGAGTTGTTCAGATGAATTAAGCCACATTCAGACAGAACGTTGGAAGATAATGTGAGAGAATATCCAATCATTACCCTTCTGTACTGTTGTCGGTGACAAGAAAGTGGGTGAAGTGGGGGGTCAGAGGTCCTTAAACGGGTAGGTCGGGATTTTGGCAATGAGGCCCTTTATCTACTTCCCCAGATGCAGATACATAAAAATGGTATTCACAAATGTATCTTTTTTTTTTTGTCATTTAGCAGACGCTCTTATCCAGAGCGACTTACAGTTAGTGAATGCATACATTTATTTTAATTTTTTCCTACCCCCTGTGGGAATCGAACCCACAACCCTGGCGTTACAAACGCCATGCTCTATCAACTGAGCTACATCCCTGCCGGCCATTCCCTCCCCTACCCTGGACGACGCTGGGCCAATTGCGCGCCGCCCCATGGGTCTCCCGGTCGCGCCGGCTACGACAGAGCCTGGATTCGAACCAGGATCTCTAGTGGCACTGCGATGCAGTGCCTTAGACCACTGCGCCACTGGGGAGACTTATGTATCTGCGTGCAGTTTGAAATAAGTTAACTAGCGTCAGCCCAATTGCTAACTAGCGTTAGTGCAATGACTGGCTGTTCCTCTAGACTTCCAGTCATTGCGCTAACGCTAGTTAGCATTGGCTTGCGAAACTACCTCTAGCTTCCTTCGTATTGGACACAGATACATATTGGATACCATTTTTATATCTGACTATTGGGAAGTATATAAATGGCCTCTTTGCCAAAATCCCCAACTATCCCTTTAATTACATTATCTGCACTGCCAACTCGCATGCATTGAGTGTGAGACACGCATTTCGCCCATTTCACACGCCATGCCTCTTATTTCTCACAAATTGAAAACGTTTTTTTTATTTTATTTTTATTAATTCAGTGTGTAAAATTCTACATTCATAAACATTGTACCCGTGGCAGCTTCACCCGGTAGATCCATCGTTTTCCTTCCACCGCACTGTGAACCGCGGCAGATTGAAGCTTGTGATTGATTTAGTTGGGGTCCAGGACCAAGGCGATTGGATGCGTGTTTGTAAAGACACACTCCTCACAATTTAGTGTGGGGTGCAGACTGGACAGGAATGTTCGTTCGCCGCTTATCAAAATGTTTAACCTCAATTGTCAAAAGAGCAGCAAGGCAACTTGTAGAGCTGTTTTGTCTATAATTGTCGCAGAATGCGTTCTTATGACAGCATGTGATAATATAGCCTACTACTAGTGATTTAATCCACAACTTGCATTAGCCCAGATCCATAGCCTACATTATTCACCTTGTTTGGTCATTGACAATTTAGCACTAGGTTCATGAGGCTGTAACAACGAAAAGGCAGAATTCAGCATGAATTTTGGTAGGCTGACCTGATTTGTCTAACTATATTATGAATATTATTTTGCCCGAACAGATTGTGAACCCAAATGTGCACTGTAACTGATTCTAGTGGGGGAACGATAATTTGGGTTTGGTGTAGTGACAGATTTAGGCTATGCCGTCTTGTCTTCAGGAGATTTTATCTGTTTAATTTGTTTGGTCTTACACAATAGCTGATGTAAGTCATTAGAACAATTTCTTCCCCTACAATGGGCTGAAATATAGACTAATTAGTGTGCTTATCTCAGCAAGAGCACTGTTATTCCCATACTTTTATTTAACTTCATAACAATTTCTTACCAATTTTGCTGGTGTAATTGGGCTATTTGAAATCTGATTTGCCAACTTGTCTTAACTTTTTAAATTATATATATTTTCAATGAGGGCTATGCATTTTTGTGAGCATTTATCGACAGTTTTAAAACCGTGTTCTGTGGCTGTCATAAAATGAGAATAGGTTATATTGAAATGCCCCTTGCCTCAAATATCCTGTTTTGTCATTTTAGTATTGTGCGCACAAGCTGCTAGGCTGAAATGGTAGGCAGAAATGCAAAAGATCTTGCCGACGTAGAGTAAGATGATGACAAGGTTTTGCAAATCAGCCTCAACCACCAGAAGATCAATATTCATTAGATTTTTCTTAAATGTGGGGTAATTTGTAGAAATCAAATGTCACATGAACATATATTCAAACTCCCAGTGTTTGGGAAACATAGATCAGGTGTGGGCGGCCAACCCTCTTGGAGAGGTACCTCTCGGCAGGAGATTTTAAAAAATGGGATAGTTCACCCAAATTACATATTTACATTGGTTTCTTATGGACAGAGAGAAACTGCAATCCATCCTATGGTTAGCCACTACAACCAACTGCTAATATTAGCATTTTCTAACCAAAAAACTGTTAGGGACACCCATACCCCCTGGCTAGGGGTGGAGACAATGACATTCACAATAGGAAATCTCACTCCAAGCTATTTTCAAAAGTTGGCAGCCCTGTATGTTATCCTGTTCCATTCTGCCTGTAATGTGAATTGGCATCTACAGCTGTTTTCTTTCATTTCCTTCCATCCAACCATGTGAAATGAAGCACTACTGTAATTGAGTTGCAGTGGCGGTTGTAATGTTGATTTTATTAATTTGGTCCATTTCCTTCCCACTTCCAAGCCACACTGCAGGGAAATACAAGCTTGCTGTCCTGTTGTTGTTATTGTTAGTATAATTATGGCAATTAGAAATAATATCATCAGGCCCTTTTCTATAATGTTGTTTAATCACTAATTGTCATTACGTGTGGTCACTAAATTATCATTGTGTACTTTTGGATTTAGGTGTTACTCTATGAATAGCCAGGTTTTACTGGAAAGTAAAAGGGGGCCGCAGCAGGATGTGGTCATGCTTTCCAACCACTTGATATGTGAGTGAAAGTGACTGGTCATTGTTCAGTCTCTTTGTGCTTTCCTCAGGTTTCATTTGGCTGTAAAAGAGGAGCCTGAAGATGGAGACTTTGCGCCAGAAAATATGGGGAAAAAGAGGAAAAGACAAGAGGATGAACACATGGAAGGTCCCTCATGTTCCACTGCAACCCCCACGTGAGCAGATCTCCCATATTATATATGTTAGCCCTCACTCCATCTGTCATTCAATTACCCTATGACTAAGTGTAAGCAACATCCACTACCTGTTGGAGGTGAGCAAATAGTGTTGTGCATTGTTGCTGTACACAGACGTTATTTGCTGCCCTCAGGTTAAATAAGAAATTGAAAGAGGACGAGGCTGACCCGAGGACAGAGAAGAACATAAAGGAGGGGATAAAGAAAGAAAAGGTAGACATCCTCCCTGAGCAGGCAAATGTTCTAGTTTTCATCTGTTGATGTAGTTGCATCATTTTCTCCCACTTTTCACTCGCATCAACAAGAATTTCAGCCGAGTTGGAAGTGGAAACTATACTGAACAAAAATATAAACGCAACATGTAAATTGTTGGTCCCATGTTTCATGAGCTGAAATAAAAGATCCTAGAAATGTTCTATACGCACAAAAAGCTTATTTCTCAACTTTTGTGCACAGATTTGTTCACATCCCTGTTAGTGAGCATTTCTCCTTTGCCAAGATAATCCATCCACCTGACAGGTGTGGCATATAAAGAAGCTGATTAAACAGCATGATCATTACACAGATGCACCTTGTGCTGGGGACAATAAAAGGCCATTCTAAAATGTGCAGTTTTGTCACACAACACAATGCCACAGACGTCAAAAGTTTTGAGGGAGCATGCAATTGCCATGCTGACTGCAGGAATGTCCACCATAGCTGTTGTTTGGTAATTAAATGTTCATTTCTCTACCATAAGCCGCCTCCAACGTCGTTTTAGAGAATTTGGCAGTATGTCCAACTGGCCTCACAGCAGACCACGTGTAACCACGACAGCGCTGGACCTCCACATCTGGCTTCTTCACCTGCGGGATCATCTGAGACCAGCCACCCGGACAGCTGATGAAACGGAGGAGTATTTCTGTCTGTAATAAAGCCCTTTTGTGAGGGGAAAACTCAATTTTATTGGCTGGGCCTGGCTCCCCAGTGGCTGGGCCTATGCCCTCCCAGGCCCACCCATGGCTATGCCCCTGCCCAGTCATGTGAAAACCATAGATAAGGGCCCAATTAATTTATTTGAATTGACTGAGTTTTCCTTATATGAACTGTCACTCAGTAAAACCTTTTGAAATTGTTGCATGTTGCGTTTATATTTTTGTTCAGTATAGATGTTTAGTCAAGACATTAGTTTTATTGTATTCACAATCATTACTGTGATACAATGTTAGTGTTTGCCGCATATGACTCAGATGGGTATAGCTGAAATGATAAACAAGCTTTGTTTTGTATTAAATGCTGTGAACATGTTTTGTTTTGGGAAATTTTACAATGGGCACACTGATTTTGTGTAAATCAAATTTTATTTGTCACATGCGCTGAATACAACAGGTGTAGACCTTACAGTGAAATGCTTACTTACAAGCCCTTAACCAACAATGCAATTTTAAGAAAGAATACCAAAAAAAACATAAGAAATTAAGGTAACAAATAATTAAAGAGCAGCAGTAAAATAACAATAGCGAGGCTATATACATGGGGTACCGGTACCGAGTCAATGTACGGGGGCACCGGTTAGTCGAGGTAATATGTACATATAGGTAGTTATTAAAGTGACTGCATAGATAATAAACAGCGTAGCAGCAGCGTAAAAGAGGGGGTGGGCAATGCAAATAGTCTGGGTAGCCATTTGATTAGATGTTCAGGAGTCTTATGGCTTGGGGGTAGAAGCTGTTTAGAAGCCTCTTGGACCTGGACTTGGCGCTCCGGTACCGCTTGCCGTGCGGTAGCAGAGAGAACAGTCTATGACTAGGGTGGCTGGAGTCTTTGACCTACTGTGTAAATTGTCTTGTTTCTGTGGTGGTGTCTTGATCTCCCAGAAGCCAAAGAAAGAGGGGGGGGAGCATCCAGTCACTACAAAGAAGAAGTCAAAGGAAGAGATTGCGGCGGCAAAAGCGTTGAAGATCAAAAAAAGAGAAGAAGAGGAGCAGCAGCGCTGGAGATGGTGGGCTTGTTTGTTTTTCTATATGCTGAATGTGTAGGAGGTGGATGGATGCACCTTTTTATGAAAGAGGGGCTCATTCTGAAATGCGTTCTTGTCCCTCAGGTGGGAAGAGGACAAGTATGAGGATGGTGTAAAGTGGAAGTTTCTGGAGCACAAGGGTCCCTTTTTCCCGCCGGAGTACCAGCATCTCCCAGACAACGTTAGCTTCTACTACAATGGTCAGTACAGCCCTGCTGGTTTGAAGGCTTTATACTCACCCCGTCAGCTCATCGATCATTTAGAAGTAAACGTGTAACTCTTCTCAAAGAGGCTATTCACTCTAAAGATCTAAGTTGCTTTCCTGGCATGAAAGTTGAGCTAGGAAGGCTTGTAGCTCACTTTCAGACTGTCCATGCATTCTGTCTGGGTCAGATTGAAAGTTGAATGTTGTTGACGCTTTCTCTATCTATGACACTCTGGGGAGGATCCTCCCCTTCATCATTCACCCCAGAAGATTGTTCCTCAACTCTGTATTGATTTGCATGGATCAACAGCTGCCCACAAGATCAGACTCCTTTATTTAGGGCTTACAGCCCGGGGATGTCTGGCTGGCTGGATCAAACATTTTGATTGAGAACCATAGTTTTGACATTTTCTCCCTGTAGTGCAGCCCTGACAGCTCCCATATCAAAAGAGTAGGTTTGATAAGTTAAACCCTGTGTGTGTGTAGTGAAGTCTCTCCCTGTACCCAGGCCTCCACAGCTGACTCATCAATCGGAGTGGTATGGAATGTAAATTCACAGCCGCTCACTGCAGGCCTCAGCCTCTCTCTCTGGCCATTGATTAGCTGGCTCCTAGGGGACCTCTGGGGGTGATATTAGGGTGGGGAATTGCCAGGGACCTCACTATACGATATTATCACGATACTTAAGGGTGGGGATGATATTTATTGTGATTCTCACAATTCTATATGTATTGCGATTCAATACTGTGATTTAATTGTGATTCCATGGTCCAAACATATTGCTTACCATGTGTCTGCTGCAGAGGGATGAGAGCCATGAGAAAACGAGTTTTGATCAGTCATGGAAATTGGCAATTTGAAATCAAATTGGCTCAATATTTAAAAAGATGGAGAACAAGCTATGAAGGACAATTACTGGAGTTTTGGTGCATGTACAGCCAACTAGCGCAACAATAAAATGGCGACTTCAAAGTTGTTGAAAATATTAATAATATCCCAATATGTACAGTAATTATCTAACATTGTTATTTTTTATCACTAGTTGATATGGTGCATTTTTTTGGTTCTGACTAAACTCCAAAAGCCTGACTTTGATCTCAGAGGACACCGCTCCTCTATAGTCACTTCAGCTACTCGTATAGTGGTGCCGCTTCGCTCCCCTACTAAAGAGAACATGACAAGGGCAAGATTTACCAAGCGTTTGCACCTGTTAGTTTCAGACAGTAATAAAAGACAAAGAAGTAAAGCTGAGTACTAAACTATTCTACAACATTATATATAATTTTCCCACTTAGGACCTGCAAGCTGGTTACTGAAAATGTAGCCCGGCTAAGATTTTTATGGAACTGTATGTGATGTGCTTGTTCACCAGGTAAAGCTGTGAAGCTGGGCCTTGCTGCAGAGGAGGTGGCCCTGTTTTATGCTCAGATGCTTGACCATGAATACACTGCAAAAGATGTGTTCCGAAACAACTTCTTCAAGGACTGGAGGAAGGTGAGAAGTGAGGGCGGAAGAAAAGCCTAGAGAGACTAGCCCTTGAAACAACTTTATTTTGTTTTCTTAGCTTGTTCTTGGAATAACATCAGTGGCTCAATTTGTCGTATAGCAGATTAAAGATTAGAAAATGAACTATTTTGGAGTTGGAAGTCCAACCGAGAACCAAACAAGTAGGAGTAGTGGTTGAGAGTGAGCGTGGTCATCAGGTCCCTATACTGTTCAACTAATAAAGAGATGTTCATATAAGGAAATCAGTCAATTGAAAAAAATTCATTAGGCCCAAATCTATGCATTTCACACCATCGTTGGGCCTGGGAGGGCATCGGTCCGCCCACCTATTGGGGAGCCAGGCCCAACCAATCAGAATGAGTTTTTCCCCACAAAAGGGCTTTATTACAGACATAAATACTTCTCAGTTTCATCAGCTGTCCGGGTGGCTGGTCTCAGACGATCCCGCAGGTGAAGAAGCTGGATGTGGAGGTCCTGGGCTGTCGTGGTTACACGTGGTCTGCGGTTGTGAGGCCAGTTGGACGTACTGCCAAATTCTCTAAAACGAAGGAGGCGGTTTATGGTAGAGAAATGAACATTCAGTACGAGGTGGTCTATTGTCTTTGTGTCGCTGAGCATGTATTCTGGGTGTGTGTACTCTGCGTGTGTGTTAAGGGTTCAAACCCTCAACATGGGAAATATGTTGAAGTCTCTCTGGGGGTTGGTCTCTCTCGTTCTCTTTCGTCGTTCTTCACCCACACACCAATCCGTTTGACTGTGGAGTTCAACTGGGCATTTTCATAGCTTCTGTTTCCCATAGATGCGATGGCTTTGAGTTTGCGTATCAGGGATGTTTTTTTGAATGTTATTTTCTCTACCAACAGCTCTGGTGGATATTCCTGCAGTCAGCATGCCAATTGCACGCTCCCTCAACTTGAGACATCTGTGGCATTGTGTTGTGTGACAAAACTGCACATTGTAGAGTGGCCTTTTATTGTCCCAGCACAAGGTGCACCTGTGTAATGATCATGCTGTTTAATCAGCTTCTTGATATGCCGCACCTGTCAGGTGGATGGATTATCTTGGCAAAGGAGAAATACTCACTAACAGGGATGTAAACAAATTTGTGCACAAAATGTGAGAGAAATAAGCTTTTTGTGAGTATGGAAAATTTCTGGGATATTTTATTTCAGATCATGAAACATGCGACCAACACTTTACATGTTGCGTTTATATTTTTGTTCAGTATAGATGCAGGGGTGTGGAGATGGGTGTATCGGGGTGTCTTCTGTACACAACACTCCAGCAGGCCCAAAGGCGTATCATGCAGAATTAATTTCGTGCTGCTTAGTGCCCAATGCTCTTGAAAATATGATTTGTGTAAAGGCATTGATATGCTAATCCAGACAAGTCGCTCCCCGCATATGAACAAATCCAATTAAACTGTTTTATTATAACGGGAAACCTCTCCTCGCCTGACTGCCCCCAGTCTCCGCCCACCCGCTGCCTGTCAATCATGCTTAAAGGGAAGGTCGGTGACTCAAGTGTCCACACTGTCACTGGCATGTCTGGACTGGATCTGTATTAGGGAAAATATCACCATTTTACTGGTGCCAAGACAATGCATTAGTATTTTTGCTCTTAGAGCTCCTGTTGTCAGGTGCACATATCCCAGATTTTTCCCTGTTTCTTTGTATTTATCTATAGCTAAACTCCCCTTCTGGATATGTTGACATGCTGCTCTTATGGATTCCTTCCTCAAAGAAATGGAAAGAAAAATAAGTCATATACACTAAGTGTACAAAACATTAAGAACACCTGCTCTTTACATGACATTTGACTGACCAGGTGAATCCAGGTGACAGCTATGATCCCTTATTGACGTCACTTCTTAAATCCACTTCAATCAGTGTAGATGAAGGGGAGAAGGGTTAACAAAGGATTTTTAAGCCTTGAGACATGGATTGTGAATGTGTGCCATACCTCTTTAAGGAATACCTGGAATAGTATAAAGTAATCCTTCTACCCCCCCCCCCATAAAAAAAAAAAAGTGGTTGTCCCACTGGCTATCATACGTTGAATGCACCAATTTGTAAGTTGCTCTGGATAAGAGCGTCTGCTAAATGATGTAAATGTAATTCAGAGGGTGAATGGGCAAGACAAAATATTTGTCTTTAAACAGGGAATGGTAGTAGGTGCCAGGCGCACCAGTTTGAGTGTCAAGAAACTGCAATGCTGCTGGGCTTTTCATGCTCAACAGTTTCCTGTGTGTATCAAGAATGGTCCACCACCCAAAGGACATCCAACCAACTTGACAAGCATTGTAGTCAACATGGGCCAGCATGTTCTGAGGGCAAAAGGGGTTCAACTCAATATTAAGGTGTTCCTAATGTTTTGTAGACTGTGTACATTGACATTTACTCAAGCAGGCTTTCTAGTTTATGGACAGAAGGTGGCCATAGTGACATCCCCGTGGCCGTGCAGGCCCTCTCGCCTGCCATAGGAGGCCACATTAAAGGGGGGTGTCGTGACGTTTTACCGCAAAAAAAAACATTACATTAAATCGTAACTGAATAAAAGGGCTACTTGTTTAGCATCCCTGTTGACATGTTTTATGGGTCTGACTCCTTCAGGGGCTCCCTAGATCTGTATTACAGGAACACAGAGGTTGCTGCTGCTGGGGCCCAGGCTAGCCTGCTTTATGGTTGTCTCTAGCTCACAGGACTGAGATGTAAGGACTGAGGATGGTCTGTCCTTTTTATTGATCAAGTGATTAAAGCAAAGGCTACAGATTTTAGTTATTTCGATAAGGACATATCTCAGATTTGTTGGGTTATGAAGTTGAAGATGAGTGGACTGGAATGTTTTGCGTTCTGTGTTTTTATTAGGTAGGTCTACTCAGAAGATTCCTGGTTGACTGACGGCATCAAGGACAATTCGGTAGTGAATCTGTTTCTCGTGTATTGTCCTTTGTTTGTCTGAGCAGGAGATGACCCTGGAGGAGAGGGTGCTGATTAGTGACCTGAATAAGTGCGACTTTCGGGAGCTCCACACCATGCACAAGGAGAAGGTGGAGGCTAGGAAGGCCATGAGCAAAGAGGAGAAACTGGTCAGTGGAACTCAGACAAAACATAGGACCATTACTCAAGGTAGAGCGAAATGATTACTTCATTATTGGATTGAGTGTAATTGCTATGGATACACTATTGTGAGAGCGAAGGGGGTTCATAGTAAAGTCTAGTTGATATCAAGCAGGCATTATTGTCATACCTGATAACCAATATATATTTCATTCCAGGTGATGAAAGAGGCCAACCAGAAGATAGTGGAGGAGTATGGCTTCTGTATGCTGGACCACCACCGGGAACGCATCGGCAACTTTAAGATTGAGCCCCCAGGTCTCTTCCGAGGGCGGGGGGAGCACCCCAAACAAGGCATGCTTAAGAAGAGGATCCAGCCGGAGGACGTCATCATCAACTGTGCAAAGTGAGACTGGCTCAGAACATGACTGGCTAGTAAAGGGGAGGTTACAGAATAGAAAAGGGTTAATAAAAGGGAAGGTTACTGCCCGGAGAAACACTATGGAACAGTCCCACAACAGGTTTGGATGTTCCAATATTCATCCCCTCAATACGGTTTAGTAGTAGTATCTAGAGGAAGACCACAGTATGGTTGTTTTCCACACTACTTTACTCCTCTAAGACCTGTGTCTCTTGTCATTATGATCCAAGTCAGTGATTAGACTCCCAGTCTAAATTAGTGTCTGCTAAAGGCTGATTTATACCCGACGGAGACGGACCCTACGGAGCGTAGCTGTGTCGTAATGTTGTTTTTCGTCACAAAAGGGGCGACTCCTTGTAGTGCGCTCCAACATTTGACATACTTCCGTGCCACATGAAAATTGTAATGTTCCGTATCACTCCTTGCATAGCCGTGGGGCCAGTGTTGTGTAGGCAATGACGTTCACTTGGTTCCTTCAAAACATGACATTCTATTTTTAGCTGATATGATAGTGAATACATTCAAGCAGCATATTAAACTGGGATAACGTTGTAGGTTACACCTGCAAGTATAGACATTTTTGCCAGGGCATATTTGATTATAAATCTGATTATTTCATGGGAAGCTAATCTACTTCAGAATCACTTCAAGATTGATGTCTTGGTTTAGCTTGGCATTAAATAAGCAGCCTATTTTGCATTGATAACCAAATATAATCTCAGCGACTGCTCAAACCTTCAAAAATATTCAAAATTCCCCATAAAGAAAATATGCGCATTTTCCCACCAGTGGTTTGTTTCCACCAAACTGACTTGTTGCGTATAAAATCAGTGCGTGATGACAGTGCACACAATGTAATTTTTCGCATACGTTTTCATGTACCGAATAAAAATCTAAACTTCAATGTGTTTCATCACATTTTCAACTCTACCGATATTTTAGTCACAAACTGTTGCGTTAAATAGCATATGTGCGGCAACAGGTCACAGATAGTGTGTGTAGGCTAGTTTACATGATGAGATTGTTATGGATAAGGGCGAGGAATATTTTTATTTGTCGATCATCATGCCACCAGAATAAGACCCTTGATATTTATATCAAGCTCATCCTCGTGCACTTTCACTACCCTGTGAAGTTCATTTATTTAATCTTTAGTCTAATAAACTGCGTGGTTTCCCGAGTCGTAGTGGGAGGACCACACACCATATCATTGCGTGAATCGAAGTTTACTTTGATATGGTCATTATATCAATATTTACGCATTAAGGCATTTTCACCGCCATTTATCGCATAATACATTTTACCGACACAAAAAGATCCCACCATGTCAAACAAACAAATGATCATGGTTTGATAATAACAATTATGATATTCTATTTTTAGCTGATATGAGAGCGAATACGTTGAAGCAGCGTCTCAAATAAGGATAATGTTGTAGAATATAAGAATATTTGCCAGGGCATATTATTTAATTTTGTGGGAAGCTAAAAGACTAGCTATCTTGCCGTGTTCAGCCAACTTGCTAGTAAGGGAAGATGAGACTTCTTTTGCTTTCACCACAAATGAGAAGACGACAAGAAAATCTCTGTCCCCCCCCCCCTTGTGAATGTTAATTTTTGGGAGTCTGGACCAGCGAGGTATTATGTTACCGAAAGGTACACGTTGCAAAAAAATATCAGACTCCAACCAGCGCATGCATGAGCGTAGATCTACGCATGTGAATCTTGTAGAGGGCTTTAGGATCAAGCACCGCAATAGTCAGGGTTAAAGTTGAGCCCCTGTGTAATAGTCTTCTAGTTAACAGTCACAAAGTCATAAACCTTGCCTATTTCTACAATTTCTCTTAAAATCTCATTTTAAATCTAACCCTAACCTTAAAGGGAAACGTCACAATTGTTCAACTTCATATTCATCACCACCCCAACATCAACATATGTGAAAATGTTTTGTAGTAAAAAATATGTGATTTTGACCAATTGTGATTAGGCGTTGTCTACTAATTGACTGATGCCATTGGAAACACTTATCTTTCTCTGTTTTTTTTACTACAAATCATAAAGGCACTATATATACAAAAGTATGTGGACACCCCTTCAAATGAGTGGATTCGGCTATTTCAGCCACAGCCGTTGCTGACAGGTGTATAAAATTGAGCACACAGCCATGCAATCTCCATAGACAAACATTGGCAGTCGAATGGCCATACTGAAGTGCTCAGTGACTTTCAACATGGCACAGTCATAGGATGCCACCTTTCCAACAAGTCAGTTCGTCAAATTTCTGCCCTGCTAGAGCTGCCCCGGTCAACTGTAAGTACTGTTATTGTGAAGTGGAAACGTCTCGGCGCAACAACGGCTCAGCCGCGAAGTAGTAGGCCACCCAAGCTCACAGAACGGGACCGCCGAGTGCTGAACCGCGCATGGCGTAAAAATCGTCTGTCCTTGGTTCCTCCGAATTCCAAACTGCCTCTGGAAGCAACATCGGCACAATAACTGTTCGTCGGGAACTAAATTAAATGGGTTTCCATGGCCGAGCAGCCGCACACAAGCCTAAGATCACCATGCGCAATGCCAAGCGTCGGCTGGAGTGGTGGAAACACGTTCTCTGGAGTGATTTAATCATCTGGCAGTCCAACGGATGAATCTGGGTTTGGCGGATGCCAGGAGAACGCTATCTGCCTGAATGCATAGTGCCAACTAAAGTTTGGTGGAGGAGGAATGCTGGTCTGGGTGTTTTTCATGGTTCAGGCTAGGCCCCTTAGTTCCAGTGAAGGGAAATCTTAACGCTACAGCATTCAATGACATTCTAGACGATTCTGTGCTTCCACCTTTGTGGCAACAGTTTGGGGAAGGCCCTTTCCTGTTTCAGCATGACAATGCCCCAGTGCACAAAGCGAGGTCCATACAGAAATTGAAATGTCCCGTATGTCTAACCTTAAATTAAGACCAACAAGCTAATTCTTGTTTTCATGAATTTTTAACTATGATATAGACTTCTGACTTTGTGGCTGTGTTATCTAGTGGAAACCCTATGTGACGCCGTCTCATGCCTACAGTATCAGACCCTTGATCTCTTTACCCCCCTCCCTTAGAAAGTCTTGTATCCCAGAACCCCCTGCTGGTCACCACTGGAAGGAGGTTCGCCATGACAACACGGTGACCTGGCTGGCCAGCTGGACTGAGAATGTTCAGGGCTCCTGCAAGTATGTCATGCTCAACCCCAGCTCCAAACTCAAGGTATGAGGCATGACCTAGAGCACAGGTTTTCAAATATTACCCTACGAGCTCCGGAGCCTTCTGATTTTATTTTCTACCTGATAATTAATTGCGCCCACCTGGTGTCCCAGGTCTAAATCAGTCCCTGATGAAAGGTGAAGAATGTGGAGGGGAGGGAAACGGTGCAAAAAAAAAAACAGTGCAACTGGCTTCAACGTCCAGATTTGAATTTGAGGAACATGGGGTCAAACCACACAAACATATGCACTCTGCGTGGTGCAGTGACTGCAGACAATTGTTGTCCTAAATAACCATTCCCATATACAGTGCCTTAAAGTATTCATACCCCTTTTTGTGTTACAGCCTGAATTCAAAATTGCTTAACTTTGTTTTTCTCACCCATCTACACACAATACCCCATAATGGCAGTGAAAACATGTTTTTAGAAATGTTTGCAAATGTATTAAATGAAATGCTGAAATATCTCATTTACATAAGTGTTCATACCCCTACGTCACCTTTGGCAGCTATTAGTTGTCAATCTTTTTGGGGAAGTCTCAAAGAGCGTTCCACACCTGGATTGTGAAACATCTGCCCATTTTATTATTTTCAAGCTCTGTCAGATTGGTTGTTGATCATTGCTAGACAACCATTTTCAAGTCTTGACATAGATTTAAGTCAAAACTGTAACTTGGCCACTCAGGAACATTCACTGTCTTCTTGGTAAGAAACTCCAGTGTAGATTTGTCCTTGTGTTTTAGGTTATTGTCCTGAAAGGTGAATTAATCTGGAAAGCAGACTGAACCAGGTTTTCCTCTAGGATTTTGGCAGTGCTTAGCGCCATTCCGTTTCTTATTTATCCTCAAAAACTCCCCAGTCCTTAATGATTACAAGCATCTTGTTACGTTACAGCCTTATTCTAAAATTGATTTAAATTGTTTTTTTCCCTCAACATTCTACAAAAAATATTTTGATATGCATTTTTTTTTTCAAATGTATAATTTTAATATGGCATTTACATAAGTATTCAGTCCCTTTACTCAGTATTTTGTTGAAGCAGCGATTACAGCTGAGTCTTCTTGGGTATGATGCTTCAAGCTTGGCGCACCTGTATTTGGGGAGTTTCTCCCATTCTTCTCTGCAGATCCTCCTGAAGCTCTGTCAGGTTGTATGGAGAGCGTTGCTGCACAGCTATTTTCAGGTTTCTCCAGAGATGTTCGATCGGGTTCAAGTCTGGGCTCTGGCTGGGCCACTCTGACATTGAGACTTGTCCCGAAGCCACTCTTGCGTTGTCTTGGCTGTGTGCTTAGGTTCGTTGTCCTGTTGGAAGGTGAACCTTCGCCCCAGTCTGAGGTCCTGTGCGCTCTAGAACATGATTTCATCAAGGATCTCTCTGTACTTTGCTCTGTTCATCTTTGCCTTGATCCTGACTAGCATTCTAGTCCCTGCTGCTGAAGAACATCCCCACAGCATGATGCTGCCCCCACCATGCTTCACCATAGGGATGGTGCCAGGTTTCCTCCAGACGTGACGCTTGATGTTCAGGCCTAGGAGTTCAATCTTGGTTTCATCAGACCAGAGAATCTTGTTTCTGCAAAGTGCTGCAAAGACTGTTGTCCTGTTGGAACTCTAGAGCTCTGTCAGTGACCATCGGGTTCTTGGTCACCTCCCTGACCAAGGCTCTCTTCCCCCGATTGGTCAGTTTGGCCGGGCGGCCAGCTCTAGGAAGAGTCTTGGTGGTTCCAAACTTCTTCCATTTAAGAATGGAGGCCACTGTTCTTGGGGACCTTAAATGCTGCAGAAACTTTTTGGTACCCTTCCCCAGAACTGTGCCTCGACACCATCCTGTCTCTGAGCTTTCCGAATGCACTCTGTAAACTTGATCTCCACTATATAAAAAGCATCTAAACATTGTCTTCTATTTCTTTTAGACTAGCGTTTGGTTTTCAACAGCAGAGATTTGTATAATTCTTACTGTGTGTTTCTGACATTTGCAACATTGTTTCAATATTGTAATTCGATATCCAGTTCTCCCATAGTAATGAACGTGTCGGGATGAGACATGCAGGCAGCTTTTCTCAGCCAGTCGAAGTCAGAAATGTCAATATAAAACAGGTGAAACTAATGGAAATTGAACTAGTTTGCTGTCTTTCCAGCTACAGTTTTGAAGTGATTGTGTTAGCTGTGTTGTTGGCTAGCTCCTCTGAACAACAGTGTCCTGACGAGAGAGCACATTCTCTGTGCCAGGCAAAATCATACATCATTAGCTCATTGTTATGGATCTATCCAAATAAATGTCACTAGAGAACATCTTAAACAAATGCAGCTATACTGAACAAAAATATAAACACAACATATAAAATGTTGGTCCTATGTTTCATGAGCAGAAACTTAAAATCCCACCAGAAAATCATGCACACAAAAACCTTATCTCAAAGTTTGTGCACAAATTTGTTTGCATCCCAGTTAGTGAGCATTTCTCCTTTGCCAAGATAATCCATCCACCTGACAATTGTGGCATATCAAGAAGCCAATTTTAAACATCATGATCATTACACAGGTGCACCTGGGGACAATAAAAGGCCACTCTAAAATGGGCAATTTTGTCAACACAATGCCACAGACGTCTCAAGTTTTGATGTAACGTGCAATTGGCATGCTGACTGCAGTATTGTCCACCAGAGCTGTTGCCAGAGAATTGAAGGTTCTACCATAAGCCACCTCCAACGTTGTTTTAGAGAATTTGTCAGTACGTCCAACCGGCCTCAACCGCAGACTACGTGTATGGCGTCGTGTGGGCTACCGGTTTGCTGATGTCAACGTTTTGAACAGAGTGCCCCATGGTGGGGTTGTGGTATGGGCAGGCATAAGCTACGGACAACAAACATGTTTGCATTTTATCGATGGCAATTTGAATGCACAGATACGTGACGATCCTGAGGCCCATTGTAGTGCCATTCATCCTCCTCCATCACCTCATGTTTCAGCATGATAATGCACTGCCCCCTATCGCAAGGATCTGTACACAATTCCTGGAAACTTAATGTCCCAGTTCTTCCATGGCCTGCATACTCACCAGATGTGTCACCCATTGAGCATGTTTGGGATGCTCTGGATTGACATGTACGACGTGTTCCAATTCCCGCCAATATCCAGCAACTTCACACAGCCATTGAGTGGGACAACAGCCTGATCAACTCAATGCGAAGGAGATGTGTGGCGCTCCGTGAGGTAAATGGTGGTCACACCAGATACTGACTGGTTTTACGATCCATGCCCCTATTTTTAATGAATTTATTTAAATTGCCTGATTTCCTTAAACTAACTCAGTAAAATTGTTGCATTTCTATTTTTGTTCACTATACTTTGCTGTTATTCTGGTTGCATTGTTTGACGTGACTGGAAGTTAGCCGTACTTGGCTAGCTAGCAAGCAATGGATAAGAACGTTGCCAGCCAGTATGGCAATGGAACATTTAGAACAAACGACTGGATACTAAAGTAGATACAAAAATATTTAATGACTGGGGCCTGTCTCTGGCAACCGAACCGATAGAACGAACGACCAGACGGCTTTGGTAGGAACATTAGATTTGTGGATGAAATAGTATGAATTAATAAATTACTGTTTTTTTTTATGACTATGTCAATCATTTTTTGAATATGTAGATAATGCCCTCCAAGCCGGTGTTTGGAGCATTTATTGGCAGTTTGCCACCCATGCCAATATATCCTCCAAACCCCGGCTTCTTGGGCATTATCACTTAGGGTGCATTCGTAAATTCACTCAGGAGTGCGCTCTCGCGTTTGTAAATTCAGAGCATTGTCAGATTATCAGTTTGTAAATTCGGAGTGTTTCGCTCTCGGAGCGTTCAGAGCGCACACTGGACGCTCTGGCTGAGGAGTAGGGTTGCATAGAGCGTTCTGACCTCACAACGGCAGTCAAGCACCCAAGCTAACTGGCTAAAGTTGGCTAGCATGCTAGCTACTTCAACACAAATGAGAGAACACCTCATTCTTACTTGCCCTAGCAGAGCTGGTTAGGCTGTTTTCATGTTATCTAGAGCGTTGGTGACTGTGCTGCTGGCAACAATTTAATTAGGTTTACTGACAACGATCATATTCAACGGTTGTTGTGCGTTCGTAAATTCATCAGATATTCTGCGCTCTGGCACACTGACTTGCGCAACCGTTTGTTTGTCCAGACAAAACCAGTCTGTCAGAAGTTGCTAGCTCAGGTCTAAATTCTGAAACTAAATATCACAAAACATCTTTGCTTTGATTTTAAGCCTCAAAATACAACTAGCTTAGCTAACAGCTAAATGTTTGTTTTAGACTTTGTTATAATTGTAATTCTATTTGAGGCTTCACATGTTGTCATGGACAATATTAATGTTATTTCCAACAACCAATGAGCAACTGCGCCGTAAATCCAGCTGCATATTGAGTTTGGCAAAGATATGACCTTTCGGCAAAGACATGGAGTGGAATGTTAGCTAAAAAGACTGGTACCCAGTCTAGACATTCAATCCCATCCTGGATCAAGATCCCTGTTGCCTAAATTGTTTTGTGCGTAATTCTTTTTGATAAGTAAAATTAAATGTGTTATTTATACTTTTTTTAAATAGCGCACCCTGTGTGCACTTCCGGTAATACCGTATACCCTGGTATGGTACAGAAATGGTATGAAAATCTGGATACCATCCAACCCTAATGTTTTGGAATATTTTTATTCTGTACAGGCCATTAAACTGTTTTAAAGTCACCCATTGGCCTCATGGTGAAATCCCTGAGGTTTCCTTCGCCTCCGGCAACTGAGTTAGGAAGGACGCCTGTATCTTTTGTAATGACTGCATGTGTTGATACACCACTCAAAGTGAAATTAATAACTTCACCATGCTCAAAGGGATATTCAATGCCAGCTTTTTTTATCAATGGGTGCCTTTCTTTGCGAGGCATTGGAAAACCTCCCTGGTATTTGGGGTTGAATCTGTGTTTGAAATTCACTGCTCGACTGAGGGACCTTACAGATTGTATGTGTGGGGTACAGAGATGAGGTAGTCATACAAAAATCATGTTAAACACTATTGTAGAACACAGTGAGTCCATGCAACGTATGTGACTTGTTAATCAGATTTTTACTCCTGAGCTTATTTAGGCTTGCCATAACAAAGGGGTTGAATACTTGACTCGACATTTCAGCTTTTCATTTTATATCAATTTGTAAAAATGTCTAAAAATATAATTCCACTTTGACAATATGGGCTATTGTGTGTAGGCCAATTTTAAATTCAGGCTGTAACACCACAAAATGTGGATGTGAATACTTTCAGAAGGCACTGTAGAAGTCTGCGAACGAGAGGTGTATGTGTTTTGTATGTCTTCGGAGCTACTAAATTCCTTAACTTACGAGCAGAATGTTAATTGTTGACTAGTAAGAATGGAGGATAGGCTACCTTTGTTTGTGTGTGCGCAGTTGTAAGAATCTAACCGATTTACATCAATTTAGTTTAACGGAACCTCTACTTTTCAGAAAGCACAAGTCATTTGTTTGCCTACAATATCTCCAATGCCACAAATAGTGGTAGCCTTGTGGCATTTTTATGGGTAACCCAAGGCTAGTTGTTAGTCTCTCCCATTGTCCTAAACAATGTTTATAAGATATATAGTTGATGGCCATGACTTTCCATTCATTCAAACATGCACAGATTGCCGTAGAGTGCATTTACTGGCTTCATACAGTCAGGAAAAAGACTCTCAATTTCATCTCGAAATTGCTTCAATTATTTACATAGATTCTGTTTGTACACTGCATGGCCATTATGATTAGGTTCCGCAGCTGTTGAAATTTTTAGTTTTTTTGTCATAGTTCGGAGTGTGTTGTATTGTATTTTACCAAGGCATATTGAATAGAGGAAATCTTGTAAGTTTAAGTTGAGGGTGTGATTTGTGCTGTTGAATAGGCCTAGAAGTCACACTGGGAAATTGTGAACAATTGTTTTGATTTTTAAGGAGAGGTCTGTGGGGAGCACGTCTATCTGCGAGTTTAGAAGCCATTTTCTTTTGTGTTGCTTGAGAGGAACATGAGTCGTGATTCATTGCAATTTGTCAGCTTTGTTGTGTGGTGTGCATGGATCAGAGGTGTTTTGTGGGAATGTGTGGTGTGCCTGTGATTCATTTTGCCATCTCCCCACCACTGCTTAGTGAGAGAAGTGTGCCTTGAGAATCCCCAATATGGCGATTGCCTGCTCTGCTCCATCTCCCTGGAGTCTTTCAGAGATTAACAAGGTTACACAGAGGCTTAGAATAAACAGTCCACTCTCCTCCATCACTATCCTACCCATACAACTCCTAAAAAAATGTTCCTCTACTTTACTGCATTATTGAAGGATTCCATTTCATGACATGGGTGTTGGCGCATTCTGCCAATAAAGGGGGGAAATAAACCAGTACTAGGGTCTGATTCTCTCTCTTTATTTTGAAGGTTAAGTTACTCCACAAGTTGTTGCCATGACGATGTGGTGGTGGCAACAACGAGGTGGGGCTAGCTAATTCAACAGCCACAGGCTACACTACTACGCTAACACAATGTCACCCTCTCTGACTGCCTCTCTCCACTAGACATTTAACAGGTTAAACGCATGTGGAAGAATTTGATTACTAGACACATGACTGTGAATACATTGTTTTAACCACAATCTCATGAAATACTGAAAGGGCTATGATTGAGTGTTGGCCCGTGGTTGTAGCAAGTGCAAGGCTTCTGACTAGAATGAGAAGGCACTGCCTGGAGGCTGCACCTTACCATGTAGTAAAACACGTGGAGAGACCATGTAAAGATTATGTATTGACCATAGAGTTCCTAAGGCTCAGTGTTGTGGTTCCCCAGGGTGAGAAGGACTGGGAGAAGTATGAGGTCGCCCGCCGGTTGAAGAGCTGTGTGAATGGGATACGCCAGCAGTACCAGCAGGACCTCAAGTCCAAACAGTTGGGGACCCGCCAGAGAGCTGTGGCCCTCTACTTCATAGATAAGGTCTGTCTCTCTGGGACCCTCCTCTGCCATACACAGGTTGATGGGTATTAAACCACAGCCAAGAGACAATCTAAATACTCCAATCCTTTAGTCAGTCACCCCATTCTGCCAGACCATATCCCCTGTGCATGCTAAGTCTGGTGGTTTCCTCCAGCTGGCCCTGAGAGCGGGTAACGAGAAGGAGGAGGGCGAGACGGCAGACACGGTGGGCTGCTGCTCCCTGAGGGTGGAGCACATCACCCTCCATGACCAGCTGGAGGACAAGGACTGTGTGGTGGAGTTTGACTTCCTGGGTAAAGATTGTATCCGCTACTACAACAAGGTCCACGTCACCAAGAGGGTAAGGAGCCAGCAGCCTCAGTACCACTAACTGTTACAAGGGATGTGTCTGAAATGGCACCCTAAATGCATTACTTTTGGCCAGGCACTCAGAGTAGGTGCCCTGGGGTGGAGGACGCAGAGAGCGGCCTGGGAGAGCGCCCCGGGATAACTTAACTTCTAAAATCGAGTTAAAATAAAAAATTGACAGGTCAATTTGACAGGGATTATGCAAAAGTTTGTTTAACTTTTAGGGTTGTTCTTCATTTAAAAAAATCTGGAATATGCCAACACTTAAACCCAAATGACTGCTTTATGTGTTCTTGATAAAGTGTTGAAGAGAATTTATCAATTGCCTACTCACACTTTAATTGGTTTTCCCATCAGGCCCGATTTATTAAAGTAACTGTCCAGTGTTTCCAGATTTCTATAAAATATGACCTATCATTAAAGCTGTAATCCTTAATGGTGAAACAGCCACATCTGTTGGTGATATTACAACAACAAAGTTACTGCAAACAACAAACACTTATTTCCCCTCGGACATAAATGCATGCGCGATAGAAGAGCACTATGTCCTGCTATTTATTAATTATTTTTTTATGCTGCGAGACGGTCAGCTTGGAAGCAAAAACAACGGTGGTGGGGCGGCCAGTGGCCCCGTTTTCCGCTACTGCGGATTGCATCTTTAATTACAATATTAGTTAAGTAGTTTTCCGTCCAAAAAATGGTAATTAGGTATTTTAAAAAGCAGTTATTCTGTGTTTGAATGGTGTGGGCATACCCCAACAACAGAATGGTGTGGGCGTATACCGGTCATATAAAAAATATGAATGTCAAGTAAACAGCTGACTGGCCAGGTCAGCCAATGAGACATCTCGGACAAAAAACATGACGTCATGTTACATGAGGAAATGGCAAGCATTTTGGGAAAGGGTCTGTTTGAAAAAAGTTTAAGGTGTTTTTTTTTTTTTTTTAAGTGATTAAATTTTTTTATAATTTATGCTTTGGCCACATGAGTATAGGACAAGTCAACATTATTTGTGTATGAGTTAACAGAATTAGCTTTTAAAAGTGAGATTTCCACTGGACAGTTATGTAACTTTTAATCTATCAGTCAAAGTAATTCTGACACAAAAACAAGGAATGGAGAATTTTATCTTTCAATTTTCGCCTGGTTCCATTCTGAATTCTGCCAAGCAGCTGTCTGTCAGTGTGAAAATTAGGCTAAACAACATTAGCTCGAGTGTCAGGATTCAGCTCCAGTATGATTCAGCCATGCTGTCTCCAAGATGGAATAGGAAATGTTGCACCTGACAGACAGTTGTTTTTTTGGGCAGAATATGTAATTATTCAAATGAGAGTATTTAAAAGCAACACATCAGGTACATTTTAATGAGTGTTCTGAGAATTCTAGCATGTTTATTCCAAGGGAATGAGATCTGGTTAATTTCAGATTAGATAGAGGGAATTCTCATTCCAGCTCCATGGGAGAGCATGATGAATTGCAATGTAAAGTGTTGGATAGCCAGATCATCACATCATTCATTATCTGTTTACCAATCTTCACTTGCCAGCGTCTGCATTCTGTGTCCGGTGTCTTTGCTTATCATCTAAACAGCATTTAGAATGTTGAACCACCATACTGCTGCGTTCTCCAAACATAGCTGTGTCTTAGACATCTGTTCATGCATAAACAGCCTGTGATGAGTGCAGATTGTTGCCATGTTTTCAGGTCCATCCTGATGACACCAACACATTGGTTGATCAATCAATCAGCCGTCGTCGCTGTTACTCCACTCCAGACACTGAATCTGGAATAAATATTTCGAAATCCTCACGCATCCATCCGTTCATCACAGGCTCTTATTTCCCTATTAATTTAGTTCTGGCTCAAGAATAAATTGTCATTCAAATCATTCTGTTTTGAAAAGCAACACATCTGCTACCATTAATTAGTTCCTTGCATATTTTAGCTGGTTTATTTAGAGCAGGAGGAAAACAGGACTTCTTGGAAATGTCAAATATAATTGAGTGGATCTTTTTTCCTCTCTCCCCTGTGAGCTGGAAGAGCAGGGTAGACAGCCATGGGCTCTCCTATCATGATCTGTGTGTAGACTAGGTGTGGAGGTCTAGGACAGACAGGGTGGGATTTAAAACCGGTCTCTCTTTGTCTTGTCCTTGTTTTGTTTATCCAGGTGTTCAAGAACCTCAAGCTCTTCATGGAGAACAAGGAGCCTGGAGACGACCTGTTTGATCGCCTCAACGTGAGTCACACAGAACCAGTCTGGCTTGTTTATCTCAACATGTAAACAAGCAAACATCCCTCACAGCTTGTTGCCAGTGTTGCTGTGCTGTAGACGGCTGTAGCCTGACGATACAGTAAAGCCCAGTGAGTGACCATTACAGCCACAAGTGTGAATTTAGCCTCAGAGAACCCTCTCCATCCTGCTGTGTGTTTGCCTGTAGCCTCTGTCTACTCCCTGCTTCTCCTGTGCCTTAAAGGGAGAACAGGAAGGCAAAGAGGCCGATATGGGGTGGGTGGATTATACATAAATCCTCTGTCCTTTCACCTCTCCTTTGGCAGAAGGAAGTCATTGTCGCCAGGCAGTGGAGCAGGTCTTGCCGGTGGCCAAGGTTATTGCTATGATTGGTGTGAAATGACATGGTTGTGATCTGCTCCTGAGAGCCAAGATGCGGGTGGGGGGGTGGGGGGGGTCTCCTTCGTAACCTATGGCACATCAGGAAATGGAGGGGCATGTTTTGGAGGGTGAAATGTTAATCGCTGCTCCGAGCCGGGCTGATTGACACTTTTTAAAAGGCCAGGTGAGGGTGTAAGCACCAGCCACAGAAGAAATTGGAACAGGCTCTAATAACTGCCTTCCCTCCAACACGTTTAGCTGGGCCAGGCTTGAGACCTGGTTATCCACCTGCTGAGGACAGTAAAAGGGTCTGTGAGTTTGTGGGACTGTCAGTAGCCTATATAAAGGAACAGCAGTTGGTAGTACAGTACATGTCTGACTCAACATTGCTACCCGAGTGAGTGGTCTGTTCAAACTTTTACATCCCGTGTGGCTGTTGGTAGAGCTTGTCGCTTGCAACGCCAGGGTTGTGGGTTCGATTCCCATGGGGGACCGGTATGGGGAAAAATTGTTTCGCTCACTACTGCATGTCACTGGATAAGAGCGTCTGCTAAATTACTAAAATGTCAATTTATTCAGGCTGAGAACTAGGAGTGTGTAATAGGGAGTTTATCTTAGCATTCCACCACCAGAAGCTTCTCAAACCCTTGATGTACCTGTCCTGCTGTCCAAACCTTCTCCACAGCATTCTTGACCCTTTATCTCTGGCAGTCAGAGCAGGTTCAGGGAGAACACAACAAACCAGACAGTAGCTGACCACAAGGCCAGGCTGAGGTATCTCTGCGGTCCAGAGCCATGGTATCGGTGAAGGCCAGATGGATGTGGTCTGATACTGGCTCACCTCCATCCATTGCCTCTGTCAAGACTTCTGTCAGGGGTCAATATCACTACACACCTGGATGCTCACAGATAGCAGATCACACCTGTCTGTACACACTAACGCAGTGTGAGATCAGCCTTGGTAAGCGAGAAGCTCCTATTGTTAGTGTAACACTTAACCACCGTAATGACAGGGAGGAGGGAAGGTGAGGACACCACATTTGACCCCCAAATTCCCAGCCGGTGTCATTATAGTCTCTGCAAGGGCAGGAGGACAGTTGAAGGACTAATTAAGAATGCAGATGTGTGTGACGGCATCCTGGGTTTAATGGGCTACTCCAGTGGTTGAGGAACGGGTAGAGGGGTATGAAGGTCGTTCTGCCCCTGCAGCAGCCTCCCTGTCTGAGGGGGAGTTAGGGATGGGTGTGTCCTGAGTGACCCAGGTCTGTCTGCGAGATGAGATTTTCATTATACCAGCATCACCCTTACTCCACAACACTGTAGTGCTCTAGGATCAAATCAAATTGTATTTGTCACATGCGCCGAATACAACGTGTGTGTGTGTGTGTGTGTAGACCTTACAGTGAAACGCTTACTTACAAGCCCTTAACCAACAATGCAGTTTTAAGAAAGAATACCAAAAAAAATACAATATAAAATAATACGAAATAAAAGTTACAAATAATTAAAGCAATCTCACTGGGATTGCTTTAGTTAATTAATTGTCTATACACACACCCATGTGACGCCCATGTAATTATGTTGGGGTGTGTGTGTCATTACAGCTGTAGTCCCCTGCTCTTAACCTCTAAAGCATTATTTTGTTATATATTTTTCATTTACCAGAAGCTCCTATCCAGAGCAACTTACAGGAGCAATTAGGGTTAGGTGCCTTGCTCAACGCTTTTTTTCAATGGCTCTGGGATTCGATCCAGTGACCTTTCCGTTACTGGCCCAACGCTCTTAACCGCTAGGCTACTTGCCACCATGTTATTGGCGTGGAGAGCCTTACTGTGTGGTGGTGCAGTTAATGGAAATGTAATTCTTGTCTTAGGCAGATCTAACTATTTAATAATTCAGAGGAAAGTAATATGATGGCTTTTTTAATCTACTCCTTATTCTAAATGATGGCGATAATACAGAGACAGTATTTTTCATTTTCTTCCTATGCAGATGTTTAAAATTCAATATCAAAGAATTTCTGGGTAACAATTAAGTACCTTATGTGATAGTTTTCAATTAAAATGGTCAAAAATAAACTTCTTAGCAAAGAGCAATCTTTCAAGCAAGAATTTGACAAGGAGTATCTGGGAGTGGTCTCTCTGGGGAGGGGAAAACTAGCGGTTATTGGCAGAGAGGTTTGGAACTCTTTCTTATTGGTCTATTAACTAATTAAACTCCACAAAAGGCTGACATTTCAGGCGGTCTTTTCATACAGCTCTTACATGAACAGGGCATTATCATGTTCACAATTTCACAGTATTAGTCCAACCTCATAGTGAGGAAATGTATATTTAAACACAGAAAATGTTTTTGACTGCACTGGGCCTTTTTATGGAAGACTGAGTTCAAACCTCAGGACTGTACTGCCATCTAGTGTTTCTGGACATACTTTTTCACACCTGTCTTGATCCAGTCCTCGATTCTTGCGTATGTGTGTCTCCTCCATCCAGACGGGCTTGTTGAATAAGCACCTGTCATCCCTGCTGCCTGGCCTGACTGCTAAGGTATTCAGGACTTACAACGCCTCCATCACCCTGCAGGAGCAGCTCCGACAGCTGTCCAACAGTACGTCCCCCAAACACCACATATACATTTAAATGCCATCCTTACAGGTGCATTCGTTTTATAGCATTTGTTTACCAAACATGTCCATCAACCTGTTCAGACGTCTGTGAATGCAATTGCTGTTTAGAACTCCTGCAAGAACCCGCTATGGAGCTGCGTCTCATGCCATGCCTGTTAATTTCAGCAGTGATTCATTCCTATAGAATACTGTTGTGTATCTCAGTTCCAGCATGTTCTGTGTTCACTCAGTGTTAGTGTCCCTGCGTGCAGTATGTTGGCTGAGATCCTCTCAGCATGCTGGGTTATTACGTTGTTAATCCTTATGTTTTGCTGGGGCCCAGTACCCCCCTCCCTCCCCTCTCATGGTGGATGTTTCTGTTTATAGAGGTGTCACACTGGATTGCTACTAAGATTAAATCTGTTTACAGTGTGGGTAGCAACCTGTAATGAAATTAGACATGTGCATGTTTTCAAAGGCAAGCAGGTGCAAGTGAGGATGATCTGGGTGGGGGAAGAGTAGATTGGCCAGGGGGAGGGGCTATAGAGGTACAGAAGGGAAATAGAGTGCTCCCTGGTGGTCTGTTAATCAAATATTAGCTCACCCATCAGCACATTAAATGTTTGATAGACCAACCATGGACAAGAGGGCTTCCTGCCTCCTGCTCTGTATATATTGCCTGAATTAAGCCATCCACTTGATCTTGTAATGACTAGTGAGCTTATGTATTTACAGTGAGCTAAGGTATTAACTCCCGTTACCACCACCATTCATAGTCCTTTGTTCCCCTGCTCCACAGTGACAGACAACCCGGCAGAGAAGCTGCTCTCCTACAACCGGGCCAACCGAGCGGTTGCAATTCTGTGTAACCACCAGCGGGCCCCGCCAAAGACCTTTGATCAGTCTATGGCCAACCTCCAGTCCAAGGTGATAAGGGATCAACAGATACTTGATACAGAGATAAGTCGAGGGGTGATATATGATGTTGTCATGTCCTAGTTTAGCTCAGTGTTTACTTCAGTCTGCCCTCTCTTCATACACCACTTCCAGATTGATGGCAGGAGGGAGCAGTTGGCCCTGGCCAAGAGTGAGCTGAAGCTGGCCAAGAAGGAGGTCAAAGCTCACAGCTCAGACAGCAAGCGGCAGGCGTGAGTTGCCCTTACTGGTAGCAGACAGACAGGGAATATTATTGCTCATACAGGGCAGACAATATCCTGACTGAACTCCTGTGTGTTTCCAGGGTGGTGGAGCGTAAGAAGAAGGCTGTGCAGCGTTGTGAGGAGCAGCTTATGAAGATGGAGGTTCAGGCCACAGACCGAGAGGAGAACAAGCAGATCGCACTGGGCACCTCCAAACTCAACTACCTGGATCCACGCATCAGCGTGGCCTGGTGAGAGCGCACACACAGGTCTAAAATATGACACTGTATGTGTGTCCAACACCTGACACCTAAATGATGCATTTGCAACACATACATTATTATCCAGTTATTAATGTTGTGCATTATTTCTCATCCATGGTTTTGCCCTCCCCATAGGTGTAAGAACATGGAGGTGCCCCTGGACAAAATTTATAACAAATCTCAGAGGGATAAGTTTGCCTGGGCTGTTGACATGACCAGGACAGATTTTATATTCTAAGTCAGCCTCTACCCTTTGGTTCTACCTAAATGTAAAGACTAGGAGGCAGCTTTTATCCTCTGCTCTCTGGTTTTAACTGCCAATGTGTTGAACTACAGAACCCTTGAATTTTTCACTCCGCTTCACAGCAAGTTTTTTCCAAGTTTTTAATTGCTGTTGTTGGCACTTAGATTTTTTTGTTTATTATTGTTAATGGTAAATCAAGATGATCTTATAGAAAGTATGGAGAATGTTTCCTTTTATACGTCTTTTTTATAAACATTAAATAAAGGTTCCTAAGAAAAGTATGGCAAAGCCTCTTCTGTGTTTTTGCATGTCAGCTCCTGTCAGTTAAGACGTGCCTTTAGCATGTCTCACCTAAGGTCATCATGCATGGATGTTATTATCACCACAGTCATAGAGCTGGCCATGTGGATTGAGTGAGATGTCAGGTGTGACTTGGTGTGCAATGTAAAGAGTCAGGAATTGAAAGTGTTAGGTCTGATTGAGCTGGCCTCCAAGGTTGTTGCTGAGAGTTTTTCAGTCTAAATAACCTCCTAGTGCAGGGATCAGCAGCTATACTGAACAAAAATATAAATGCAACATGCAATAATTTCAAATATTTTACTGAGTTACAGTTCATATAAGGAAATCAGTAAATTGAAATAACGTCATTAAGCCCACATTTATGGATTTCACATGACGGAATACAGATATGCATCTGTTGGTTACAGACACCTTAAACAAAAGGTAGGGGCGTGGATCAGAACCAGTCAGTATCTGGTGTGACCACCATTTGCCTCATGCAGAACGACACATCTCCTTCACATAGAGTTGATCAGGCTGGTGATTGTGGCCTGTGGAATGTTGCCCCACTCTTCAATGGCTGTGCAAAGTTGCTGTATATTGACGGAAACTGGAACACGCTGTCGTACACGTTGATCCAGAGCATCCCAAACATGCTCAATGGGTGACATTTCTGGTGAGTATGCAGGCCATAGAAGAACAGACATTTTCAGCTTCCAGGAATTGTGTACAGATCCTTGCGACATGGGGCCGTGCATCATCATGCTGTAACATGAGGTGATGGCGGCGGATACATGGCATGACAAGGGGCCTCAGGATCTGTTCACTGTATCTCTGCATTCAAATTGCAATCGATAAAATGCAATTGTGTTCATTGTCCGTAGCTTATGCCTGCTCATACCATAACCCAACTGGCACCATGGGGCACTCTGTTCACAACGTTGACATCAGAAAACCGCTAGCCCACACGACACTACACGTGGTCTGCAGTTGTGACGCCGGTTGGACGTACTGCCACTCTCTAAAACGACGTTGGATGCGGCTTATGGTAGAGAAATTGACATTCAATTATCTAGCAACAGCTCTGGTGGACATTACTGCAGTCAGCATGCCAATTGTGCGCTCCATCAAAACTTGAGACATCTGTGGCGTTATGACAGAACTGCTCATTTTAGTGGCCTTTTATCGTCCCCAGAACAAAATGCACCTGTGTAATGAAGATGCTTCTTGATATGCCACACCTGTCAGCTGGATGGATTATCTTGGCAAAGGAGCAATGCTCACTAACAGGGAAGTAAACAAATTTGTGCACAGAATTTGAGAGAAATAAGCTTTTTGTGCATATGGAACAGTTCTGGGATCTTTTGTTTCAGCTCATGAAACATGGGACCAATAATTTATTCAGCCACGGGCCGATATCTTTTCTTCAGCGGATGGTCAGGGGCCGGAACATACTTAAAAATAATTTGTAGGGCCTTCCAAATGGCGCAGTGGTCTAAGGCACTGCATCGCAGTGCTAGAGGCGTCACTACATTTACATTACATTACATTTTACATTTTAGTCATTTAGCAGACGCTCTTATCCAGAGCGACTTACAGGAGCAATTAGGGTTAAGTGCCTTGCTCAAGGGCACATCGGCAGATTTTTCACCTAGTCGGCTCGGGGATTAGAACCAGCGACCTTTCGGTTACTGGCACAACGCTCTTAACCACTAAGCTACCGGCCGCCCTACAAATCCGGGTTCAATCCCGGGCTGTATCACAACTGGCTGTGATCGGGAGTCCCGTAGGGCGGCGCACAATTGGCCCAGTGTCTTCCGGGTTTGGCAGGGTTGGCATTACTTGGCTCATCGCACTCTAGCGACTCCTTGTGGCGGGCCGGGCGCCTGCAGGCTGACCTCGGCTGTCAGTTGAACAGTGTTTCCTCTGACACATTGGTGCGGCTGGCTTCCGGGTTAAGCTGGCGGGTGTTTAGAAGCGCGGTTTGGCGGGTCATGTTTCAGAGGACGCATGACTCTACCTTCGCCTTCCGAGCCCGTTGGGGAGTTGCAGTGATGAGACAAGATCGAAATTGGGGAGAAAAGGGGGGTAAAATACAAAAATTAATTTTTAGACTGCAAGAAGCCTAAACAGATATAATATTTGGTTACATTTGAAACGATCACATCTCTCTCTCTATTGTGCGTGGGAATACTTTGGTAAAGATTTCCTAAATTAAAATCAGTGGAGTTGATTTGCTGGGTTTTTTCCAACAATAGAAAATAAACCTTGGAGGGCCAAATTTGGCCTGCGTGGTGCCAGTTGGGGAACCCTGCTCTGTGACATTATCCAAATGTACACATGGAGGCACATCTGTCGGAGCCCCATAGGATAGGTTCAGGGCATTCAGGCTGTTTTTAAAAACAAGCAAACAAGAAAAACCAATATGTTGATTTGTTATTTCTAAGAATGAGACTGTTTTAAGATTGGTTTGTATTAAATAACTTTAATAGAACAAAGTCAGTTGAATTTGGAATGCATTCCACTTGGCACACCTTCTACTATATACTTAAATCAACCATTACTCATAGGGCTGAAAAGTTCTGAGAAATACTCATTTACAAATAAATCTTCAAGTCACTACATAAGAACTGTTACTTTTATTACAATAGTCAATATAAAAAAGCACTCCACAACACGCCAAATCAAAATAGTTAATGGTTACAGTGGAAAAGTATGCTGCTCCTGAAGAAAGTCCTTGACATCTTGTTACTTGGCAACCTGTAATTGACACTTTTTTTTAGTTGGTTGAGCATACACTTATCTACTGTATGGGAGAGACATTAACTTTTCCAGACTTAATTAATTTAGGAAAATGGCAGCAATTTTTTACGGTTCCTAACTGCAATCATAATCTACCTATAGACCTACGAAGAACTTAACATCAAGTCAAAAGGAAGTTCAGAGAAATTGTAGTGACATCAAAAGGTAGGCCTAAACTATAATTTAAGTTAGGCATGTAAATGCTACCCATGTGACATTTTCTGAATGGAAAATATATATGTTCACCAGCAAGGCTATTTACGCAGCTAAGACCTTTTCTTTCACCTAAAATCGTACTTTTGTAAATCCAGGACTACTACTGACTTGGATACAGGGATGAGTGCCAGAAGGTGAGTACTAATGATAATCCATTGACAACATACAGAAATAGAAAACATGTATTAAGATGCCGTCAGATTACCTTCATGACCCTTGTCCTTCTTTCACCTGTGGTTCTTTGACCCCTTCTATCTCCTCCACGCCCGCCTGGGTCATGAGGTCGGCAATGTTTTTCTCCAGGTCATCAATGCGGGTGCTCATCTCATCGAGTAAACATGGTTAAGGAAGACAATGGGTTGGCCCATAATGGGCCTGTGGATAACACTGACCAGTGGGATGTGCTGGCTGGAATGTCTCTTCATAATAACATGAATGATGACCACCCACAGATACTCCCCAGCCAATATTCTTACTACAACTGGTAAGACATATCTAATGTATTCCTCCTATGCACTACTATACTATTACCATGTTATTACTGCTTCATTCTGTGCTGTAATGTAAAGTGCTACCAGAAATATTTTACAAATTAGCTTATGTAAAAAGAAACATCAAAATGGACTAAAGACAGTTGTTTGGCAATAAAATGGGTATAATGAGGGTGTGACCGTATGACACCCCTATTTATAAATGGGCCTTATGATTTGAAAGACCTAGGCCCATCCCAAGTTTCCTAAAAATGTGGGGGATGTTGCTGTCCCCTTTCGTGATCAGTGTACTTTACTAATAACTGAACAGCTCTGAGTTGTCTGGAAGGATATTTCTCCCGATGATCTGGTCGGACATGGTCTGGAACTTGTCCTGCATCTGTTGCAGCAACGTCTGGACCTAACATAAGAGAGCACAGTTTAGAGAGCAGTACCAACATAAAACAGGCTGATGTTATATCTAGTCTACCGGTATTCAATGACCAAATGTGACCCTTCTTGCATGCAATTTATGAAGATAGTCCAAAAGACAAATTAGCCTATACTGCACAGCTGGTTTGGGATCAATTCAGAATAATTTGGTAGACCTTTTATTTTTGCATGATTCAAAGCACATGCAAACTGGTCGTTTTGTGATCATTTTCTTTACATTAGCTAGCAAGCTATGCATAATGATCATGGGAGATGTAGCGACAGCAGTAGGAGCTATTGGTGGTGATGAGCTATTTTGCTGATCTTTGTAGAGTTCGATTCACTACTATCGAGCTGTTTCGTACGATCCAATGTTGGCTACTGGCTATTGAAATCCTTGGCTAATGCACATTGAAAAATATCCATTCCAAGCCTGGGTGAATGGTGTTAGCTAGCTAGCCAGCTAGCTAGCGACACTGTCAATGTAATATACTCACCACATTGGTAAGGTCCTGAACTGACTTTGGATCCGTTTCTGCCATGTTTTTCCTGTGCACGATACGCGTGTAATGAAGTGGTGTAAAATGAACTCTAATTAGCTGAAAAATAGTTTTGGTTGAAATAAATTCAGGATCCCTTTCCCTCCCAGTAGCTCTAGATGCAAAACATGTCTCGCGAGAACACTGAAGCAGGATACTGACGGAATGGATTATTGTGGAACATTGTCTTTTTTTGTATGCAGAGCCTCATAACCTGGCTACACTGATTTTAATACCGTGGCTTTCACGAGTGTACAAATTAGGGGGGCTCAGAACACTGTAAACGACATTGTAATGTGACAATAAAAGACACCATATTTGAGAAACGAATCATCATTGTGTGTGTCATGCAGTGACTCCCAGTGATGTTTTCCCATAGCCAATAGTTGCGTTGGTTGAAGTCAAATTGTGAAGACTACAGTATACTGTAAATCGTAGATCTGTAATTGTCTATGAACAAGTTGGCGCGCGTGACTGAGGAGTTGCAATGAATCTGCGCGTGAATTGAAGAGGTATGTTCAGTGGTGAACAACGTCTGCAACCGCAGTATATTTGAAGTATATAGAAAGTATACTTTTACTGACTTTCTAGGCTATTGAGTCATTGTTCAGGATATTTGAACACCATACGCGTGACCGACCATGCAGGTAGGCAATCTGTCTAAAACCTAAAGGAAAATTTGCACTTTTTTTCTTATTGTACACAATGTACATCAATTTGACCCAAGCGAAACTGTCAATGGCCGTCTATCGGTGCGCACGCTATAACTATATTTTCTTCTATGGTCTTGTATCCTTTGGTAATTTTTTCTTTCACCAGTTTATTATCCTGTCGATTTACAGTTTACTTACTACATCGCCCCGGGAATATTATCTCAAGGACAGCTTCTGCCAGGTGTTTAGTCAATGTACCAAAGGATTTAAATTGAGATGCTATTCTGAGATGGAATCCATTGCTGGGAGATGTTCTTTACTCCTCAAGACACAAACTGGTTTCTTCACTTTATAATTTGTACAGATTTTGGGATGTACAGGCATTTTAGAATAGTTGGAATTTTTCATGCAACTAGCCATAGGTAAAATAACCTACTGTATGTTGAGGCATGTTGAAGCCCAACCCCTTCATACTTTACTTAACATAAGTGTTTTTTTCTGTTTTGCCCAAGTCTTCCAAATAAAGGTATCCTAGTTTAACAAAGACAATGAATGAAAGGCCACCTAAACTCTGTAGCTTAAAAGCATATGGTAAAGAAAACACTGGAACATTTTCTGATGAGTATTATTGGATAGGCTATCAAAGTTATTCGCTGTAGCTTAATGTTCAACTGAAAAAGTAAGCAAAGAACATTAAACTTCTAGTGACCTTTAGCGCAGTTTTAATGTCTTGGAGCTCTTACACAGTCACGTTTCACATTACACTCTATGCAGCCTAATGAACTGTCCGTTACAAAATGACAAAATGTGTATGTCCACTGATAGACTTTGAATGTCACCAAAGTATCTATTGCCTGTGAAATGTCACCCTCTTTCTGTATTCCCAGTTCCCTCTTCCTATACTGCCTGCTGTCCAACTACTGAATGTTTCATTGAGAGGAATACTGGAAGTGTGACATGATCTGGTAGAAATCATGTCACACTTAATGACACTTAGTAGAGCTGAGTTATACAGAGAAACCGATGTGTCAAGGTAATTAAGTATCTCTGTTTATCCTCTAGATGTCTCTATCAGTCACTCTGTGGAGACATGAGGAAGTAGTATTAAGTCAACTGTGAACATTGCATCAATATGGGCCTTGTGGTTTGCATTGCTTGGAACAGTTCAACAGCCATATTTTCTTCAGCACACCCTAAAGAGCTCTTTTTACAGAAAGAGCATTGTTACATTTTGTTGTTTCAATATTCTTCCCCTGGCTGCCTAGGGAAAAAGGTGAACTTTTGTTTTACTCTACGCTCTAAAAAGTCATTTGAGCGATTGGGCCAAAGAGAGGGAAAACTTAGAAAAGAAGAATGTTTCCCCAATGTAAATACTGGCAGTTCTGTATGGATTATATTTAGGAGGACTCCATATTTGGCAAAGCTTCTGCAAATATTAAGACAACGTGCTGCATTTTATGTAGATGGGCGACTAGTAAGAGAAAGAGCATTATCTGTCTTATCCCCTCAAGAATGCTCTCTATGGAAAAGGCAATGGCTCAAGTGTAGTGATATGTATAGTAGTAATGTTCTCTGTAAAATGGAAGGACAATAGTAACAGCTCATGGACTGTTCTGGAAATATTTGCATTCTCAAAGCTTTAAAACCTTTAGCAGCAGTTCTGTGTTCCAGCAAAGAGAAATACAAGGCAGAGTGTGTCAGAGGGTCTGTCTTCAGAGTTATGATATAGCAGTGTTGCTTAGAGGAAAACCTTGGTCTCTTTGCAGGTTTGTGACATTGGCGTATTACTAGAGGGCTTTTTTGGATATCCTTCATTCAGATCAGGGTGTGAGAGAATGGGTGTGGGTGGAAAGGTGACTCATGTTTTAAAGGCCCAATGCAGTCAAAAATGTTATTTTCCTGTGTTATATACATTTCTACACTGAGGTTGGAATAATACTGTGAAATAGCGGAGGTGTATAAAGATTGCGGCCCCCATGCACTTACTATAAATTCCTTGTTTTGCTCAGTTCGCCATATTGTACATTGCTCTCCGTTACTTACTTTTTTTGTATGATCATTAGCAGAGTATACATGATCTCCATTTTATCTTCAAGATGCTGGCAATTTGAAAAAACGAAGTAGATTGTGCTGATGTATTGGCACATTGAACCATATCGCGCGCCTTAGTTGAAAAACGTAGTGGATAGTGCTAGAACAAAGACGTCATATCGGAATTCTGTCATCCTTATGCACGTTAACCATTGTGAAAATGATAATGCCCTTTTTAGTGTAAGAGCTCTTTGAAAAGGCCGCCTGAAATTTCAGCCTGTTTTGGTGGGCTGGAGTTTTGGCTTGCTTGGTGAAATCACCAGGTGGTAAATTAGTTAATAAGAAAGAGTTCCAAACTTCTCTGCCAATCACTGCTAGTTTTCAGTTTTCCCCTCCCCACTCAGACCACTCCCAGACAGTCTTAGCAAAATACTTGTCTCTTTGCAAAGAAACAATTTTTGTGTCTTTTTGACAATTTTAATTGATAATCACAGTAAGGTTGTTACCCAGAAATGATTTGATATTGAGATGAAAACAGGCGCATTGGACCTTTTTTTTAAAGAATTGTTGTCGAGTCTTTGTGATTACTGATAGTCAGCTTCAGTCTTAACTGAGTGGGAGATGGTGCATACGGTTTGTTGGTAACTCTGTTTTTGAAGGTACAAGAGGGTGAAAGCAAAGTTCTCTAACAACACATGTTATTTGTTTCTAAGCTTGGTCATCATCAGGAGTATCTGTTTGTCCACTCCACAGCGCTGGGTGTAACTGAGGCCAGGCGGCCATCTGTGAGGCCCTAGCTAGAGATGGAAATTGAGGTGGACATCCAGGAGGAGGACATGGAGGGCTCGTGTACCCTGCTGTCGTGGCTGGCCTCCTGTGTGATGGTGTTTGGAGGGGCCCTGCCCTACGTGCCTCAGTACCAGGAGATCCAGAGGAGCAGCAACACTGAGGGATTCTCCACCCGTGTCTGCCTGCTGCTGCTCATCGCCAACATCCTACGCATCTTCTTCTGGTGAGGCCAGGGGCGAGAGGGGTCACTGGGACTGATTACATTGGGCATATGCACAGTGTACACATCCAGTGAAACTGCCAGGTGCTGTGCAGAGCAAACAGTTCAAAGAGAACAGAATAAACTATTGTATACTCACTCACATGTTGAAACAAATCACTTGGGAGCATACAGCAATTTGCATGTTTAACGTGTTTACTTTAAACATATGGATAAAAAAAACTAAAGTGTGGTTAGAGGAAGTGAGCATTGTCTGTGCAGACACTGTTTTGATTAGTTACTGTAATGTTGTCTACCTACAGGATAGGGAAGCAGTTTGAACTGACTCTGCTCCTCCAGAGTGTGGTGATGATCATTACCATGCTAGCTATGCTCCACCTCTGTTGCAACACTCGGGTCAGCACCAACCAGCACCACTTCACAGGTAACCCAACCAAACCATAACCACATCATGCAAATAGCCCTACTTCACTTGTAGGCTACTGTAAAAACACATGTATTACTCATTTATTAAGTCCCAACCATTACGTCAACACACCCTATAATATCACCTCACAGGCAATATATCTGTTGATTGCTAAATACTCTGCATGTACAGTACTTGCCAATTACAGCTCATCACATTTGACAAATTATCACTCATCACTTACAGTACATATAAGCCTATGTAGTGGAGCTCTGTTTCAACACTGAGCTATTGCCGAAAGGGGGGGCCAAAGGAGAGGCTATAATCACTCAGGCCTCTCTTTCTCTCACACACACTCAGTCTTATGTAATTTCTTGTTTAGATTTTTGGATGTTATAGATGGTACAGTGTGTTTACGCCTGGGGTCCTTTTGAATTGAGTAATGATCTTTTAGATGTATTACGAGGATTAGTGTGAGAGAAGGGGAAATGTTGGATGGGTGTATGCATTGGGCTGTCATGTAGAAGAGATCACCCTATTCTGAGCTCTGGGGGGTGAGAGAGGGAGTACGTGGCCAGCGGCTGGGGTCTCGTCTATCAGAGAGTGTGGAGTGGGGGCTGATTTTAGGCCCTATTCCCACTACGAGAGATTAAGGAGAGTCTGAGGAGCGGAATTCCGAAAGAGATTTCTACTTTTCAATTCAAGTTACATCCTTGCCTTACCTTTCGTTGTGGCTGGCAACACAACGTTCTTGGTCCGCAGCTCAAATTGACCGTAAATATCACAATAGCCACTAGCCAGTTAGCATAAACTATTTAACAATCCAAGCAATTTTTCTTCTAAAACGTATTACAATATTAAATAATGCAACCAAACCATATTACGCTCTTGAATAATGCAACAATCCACAAGCATGTGCAGACAAATAAAGGGTTTATTTTCTAAGGTAGCTGACAATACACTGCTGACTCCTGCTAGCTAAAAGCTAAAAACATGCTTCATGATCAAGTAATGTTAGCACCCCTCCCATACGACTATAAAAGTACAGTAACGTTATCATACAGTGTCGTTCATATTATAATATAGGCTACACAGCTAGGTAACGTTAGCTAGCTAGCTAAACAGAATAATTTCTGCATCTTCACATAAACGTGCTGGCAGTAGCTGAATGCTGACGTTTAGCTGAACCATAGCTAGATAGGCGCTCTTAAGCTTACACTAGCTACCGCATTAAAGTTACCATAGAACAAACCAGGCTTCATTTGATCAATATCATGGCAGTCATATGAGGTAAAAGCAAATTGCGACTGAAAATGTTAATAATTCCCTGGGTAGTTCCTACTTGCCTGGACCTCGGTGGCACAGTGCAGTCTAGCAACAACAACACTGCGACATGTACAGAATGTAACCAGCTGTTACTACAATTTCAGGTAAAACCTCAAAACTGTTTGGGGACCCGGGAGGGCTGGGGTCTGTCCAAGTTCATGCTCAGTCAGCTTTTATGTACTGGATTTAAGGGTAATTATGTTTGTACACAGATTGATTTGAATCTCTTTCAGCACAATTACAGAGCCAATCTTAAGGCAGCTTTTTATTAGGCTGTAGACTGAGAACGAAATGAAATCTTGTAATATTCCAATAATTTAAAGTGTTATTAGATCCCTAACTTCTCTGCACTAATAATGTATCTGTCATGTTGATTGATTAGTGAAGGGAGGCAAAGTTATTCATGGTGAGGTTATTCATGCTGTAGATATCGGTGAGTTAGTATGGGTTCAGTGTGTGTGTGTACCCATGCACGCGTGTCTGAGATTGTGTTATACTGTAGATAATCCTTACTTGGGCATAGGAGATGTCTGTGAGAGACAGTTTGTCAGAATGAGAGTTAAATTTCCTGGTCTTCTTGTCATGAGTATAGTCTGCTAAGGCAGAGTTCCAGACTGTCTCATTCTGTTGTCCCCTGGAGAGTCACTATTTACTCCATCCATTCTCAGTCCTGTCTCCCAGGAGCTCAGCAGCCAAACCAATAGAGAATTCTGTTTTGACTGCCCCTAATCACCCTGTCCACAGACACTACAGCAGACTGTCAACGCCACTGGAACGCTACTTCCTTCTGCTGAAGGGCAGGCAAGGTGTCTGATTTCAGAGGGGATGGAGGGGTGTGATGGTATATACTCAGAATAGCCCTTAACCCCCCCCCCCCCCACCACACACACACACTCTCCCCTCCCCTACTTCGCTCCCCATCTGAGACCCTCTAATCAAGGGGTGGGAAAACCTTTTGGCTCAAGGGCCACATGCTGTATGCGTGACAAAACAAGTGAAGCCTTTATTCATTTTCACATTGACACGCAACTACTAGTGTACTGTAGGTGTACATATGCTTGCAGAACAATTCTACCCTGGTACCATCTCTACCCATGTTTTTTGTGAACAAAATGTTCAGAAAATTGATATAATTTATAACATCATAGTCAAACACACACACACAGATCCTGCATCTCTGCCCTTGTAAAGTACAATCAAACTTAGTCACAATATGCAAACTTAAAAATAGATGCAAAATGTAACCGCTAACAAACTATTCTAAAATTTGAGTGAAACATATGTTAAGAGCATTCTTTTAATTTGGAATGGTCTGTTTTTGAAAGCATATTAAGGAACAATTATCATCTCCATTGTGAGCCATATTTACAGTTATCCAATCACCTCAGCCCAAATCTGACTGATTAGTTATTACCTGTATCCAAGTGCATTGCTGGATAATTCTCACTGCATAACCATCACCATGAAAAAGCATAATCCTTGCCTACCCCAGTCACGGTTATTCAAGTCTTAATGTGAACAATGGGTCTGGTCACCTCTCTTGGCAGGGGCATCAAAGTCTGGTGTGATCTTTGATGTAGAGATTCTCAGAACAGCTGACAAGTGGTCATTGTTAAATTTGACCTGTGACAGGATTTGTTGTAATTCATGACTGAGAACATTTGTTCACACACATATGTTGACCCGAATAAAACAAGCATCCTTTGGGCGTGCTTTTTAATGTTTGGAAACTTTGTTTCATTCAGTGAGCCATAGAACTGGTCTATTGTTGCTGTTTTGTACTTCTCCTTCAAAGCACTGTCACATTGGATGTCGATGAGCTCCAATTGTGTGTCTGGAGGTGCTTTCTCACTGTCGAAAGACAGGGGGCATGATACAAGCTCCAGCTCAGTCTCAATCTTGGTGAAGTCTGAGAAGCGGCGGGGAAACTTTGTCTGGAGAACAACATAAGTTTGGCCTTGAATGCTTTCACGTTGGAATACAGTTCATGCACAAAAACACTTTCCCTGCAGTTTCACATTTACATCGTTCAGATGCCCCAATATGTTCACACCGAAAGCAAAGTCGCCCAACCAGTCTGTGTCTTTCAACTCAGAGAAGTCGTCAGCTTTACCTACCGTATCAAGGAACATACCTATCTCCCCTCTCAGTTCCCACACACGGCGAAATACATTTCCCAGGCTTAGCCAGCGCACATTTGAATGGTACAACAAGTCCTGGTGTTCTGCCCCTGTGTCATTGAGCAGCTGAATGAACTGATGATGGTTAAGCCCCCTTGCCCGTATAAAGTTTTACATGCACTTTGACAACATTTTCCAGCTTTAACACACTTTTACACAGGGTTTCCCGATGAATAATACAGTGAAGAAATATCAATTCCTCCGAGTTAGGGCTTTCTTCTTTTACTTTGTCTTGTAATCTTTTTAGTAGGCCAATGTTTTTACCGGTTAGATTTGGTGATCCATCTGTTGTGACGTTTGCTCCACGTAGATTCATTGTTTCCAAGCAGGCAGACACCCTGTCATATAAGTCAGAGCCCCTGGTTGTTCCCATCATTGATTCCATCACAAGAAGTTCTTCTGTTATTTCAAAGTTCTCATTTATTCCTCTGACAAAAATTAAAAGTTGAGCGGTGTCTGATGTCAGTACTCTAGAAAAAAGATAGAAGCCATCTGCTTCTCACCTATCACTTCCACGTGCCTGGTGATGGTTCCGTGTGATAAGCTAATTTTCTCGAATTGGCTTTTACTCTCAGGACAAAATATACCAGCAGTCTCCACCATACGCTCTTTCAAAAGTATTTTGCTGTCCATTCTTCTTTAAACACATGACGTTCAGAGTCCACTTTTCTCATTTTCGCTGCGCTCATGTTTCATGTCAAAAGTCGTCAAGCAATAGTGGCTATGATGACTGAGCGCATTCTGAATCTGACTGTAGGCCCAAATACAGAGCGTGCTGCCAGGCTACAGCGCCATCTATTGGAGGTTGTTTGTATATCATGGAATGAGTCATTTTAGGCCAAAAATCATAACTTAAATTTAATTATATTTAATACATTTAAAAAATGTCTCACGTGCCGGATTGAATTCCCGGTGGGCCGGATACGCGGGCCGTACTTTGACCCCCCTTGCTGTAATCACTATTGTACTTTCCTTACCTCAGGGACATCCTGCTCAATGGCAGCCAGCACAGTAGGACCTGTCCCAATCTGACTCTACCACACACACACACACACACACACACACACACAACAATAAACACTCAACGAAAAACACACATGCAAAGTACTTGTGTTGAGATATACCATTTAGCTTCCTTTAGTGGGGGTTACCTGAGGTCAGTAGGTAGGGTATCTTATGCATATATACTAAAGGCACTCAACAGCGGTAAAACTAATTTATTTTTATTTTATTTTTATCTGTCCATGCAGGTGTTTTCTCAGCACATTATCTGGAATACCACCTCAAGGACTAGTCCATTAAATAACCACTAGGAAATAATGAGAAAGTGCTGTACAAACGACCCTTGTAACAATGTGTTGTAATGTGGACTTCACTGTGGTCGGTGTTGTTGGCTCTGTTCGACACATTAATGACTTTGCTCTGACTTCCACTGACTGCCCTAAGGCCATACATTAACAGGTTGCCATTATGATGCAGGTTTTGGACGGGGACTGAGGAAAAGGGGAAAAGGAAATACAGTGATGTGCTATTATAACCTTTTACCAGCTTTTCAAAGTTGTACAAATGAAGGATGAAGGTAATGTTTTTTTTCATGCTGCATAGCGCGCTGCAAAATGATGTTTCAAGAATTACAAACTATATGAGACTTACTGATATATGGGGGAGTCGATGGAATGAAATGAGCATTTCTCCTCAATACATCATGTCCCTAAAGAAAGGTTGACTTGCTTTGTCGGTGAGAGTCAAAATCATGTATTACCTGTGTCTGGAGTGGCAAAGGGAGATTCATTCTCATTCTCTCCACAGTTTTCCTCAGAAAGCTCCTTGGGTGAAGACCTTGTGGCTCATAGTTCCTTTATGGCTCAGCTGAGGTTGAATATTGCTCTCTACTGATGTTAAAGCCAGTGTTGACCTTGGCTGAGCTAGAGTGAACAATCTGCTATGTTAACCTCACCTCAGGTTTTATGTGGACAAAGTTCTGTCCTTGTGTAGCCTCACTCCCAACCTCAAGAATAGATAACTATTTTAATGTATACCCTCACATCTCATCACAAATGCTTCTGCAACGCTCAAAGGTGAGTGAATGTTGTTGATGCAGCCTGTTTAATAATTGAATCTCATGTAGAGGTAACTGCCAAAATAAAGGAAAACCAACATAATATTTTATTAGGGCGTTGGGCCAGAACGGCTTCAATGCACCTTGGCATATATTCTACAAGTGTCTGTAACTCTATTGTACCCTTTTCAGACATATGGAATGTGCCGTCTTGAAAGCGCCTCGGCTACGGCATGTTTGTTTCTGTAATGGCACACTACTGTTTTTTAAATGCCGACACAAAACCTTCTCTGAAGATAGTTTCAAAGCGCCACTTAACAGGCGTTTTGCTTGTCTGTAAAGGAATGCTGCTTCAGAAGCGGAACTACACTGTGTGCACAATTATTAGGCAAGTTGTATGTTTGAGGATTAATTTTATTATTGAACAACTACAGTGCTCTCGGTCAATCCAAAATGTTAATAAACCTCAAACCTGAATATCTATGTGTGCACAATTATTGGCCAACTATTAGTGTGCAGAATTATTATGCAACTAAATGAAAAACGAAAACTTCCCCATCTCACTTGTTTATTTTCATCTGTTAAAGTGAGAATAATAAACAAACTCAAAATTTACAAATAAACATTTCTGACATTTCAAAAAAGAATCAGTGACCAATATAGCCACCCTTCTGTTCAATAACAGTCATAAGCTTTCCATCCATGGAGTCTGTCAGTTTCTTGATCTGTTGACGATCAACTTTTTGTGCAGCAGCAATCACAGCCTCCCAGACACTGGTCAGAGAGGTGTACTGTTTTCCTTCACCATAAATCGACAGTTTAAGAAGGGACCACAAGTTCTCAATAGGGTTTAGGTCAGGTGAGGAAGGGGGCCATGTCATTATTCTTTCATCATTTAAGGCCTTTACTGGCTAGCCACGCAGTGGAGTACTTCGATGCATGCGATGGAGCATTGTCCTGCATAAAAATCATGGTCTTCTTGAAAGATGCAGACTTTTTCTTGTACCACTGCTTGAAGAAAGTGTCTTCTAAAAACTCGCAGTAGGTTTGGGAGTTGAGTTTGAGTCCATCTTCAACCCGAAAAGGTCCAACTAGCTCATCTTTAATAATACCAGGCAATACCAGTACCCCACCTCCACCTTGCTGGCGTCTGAGTCGAAGTGGAGCACTGTGCCTGTTACTGATCCAGCCACGGGCCCATCCATCTGGTCCGTCAAGAGTCACTCATCTCATCAGTCCATGAAAAATCTGTCTTCAGATATTTCTTGGCCCAGTCTTGACGTTTCAACTTATGTGTCTTGTTCAGTGGAATATGACAGCACTGGAGGATAATGGGTTCCTGGTAGCTTCACATTTGATTATTCTCAAATCTTTGGCAGTTAATTTGGGTCTTTCTTTCTCAATACGGTTCTTGCGACCCTGTTGACTATTTGCAACAAAACGTTTGACGGTTCTGTGATCACGCCCCAATATCTTAGTAATTTCAAGAGTGCTGCATCCCTCTGAAATGTATTGACTTTTCAGAGTCAGTTAAATCTCTTTTTTGACCCATTTTGCCTGAGGAAAAGAAGCTGCCTAATAATTATACACACCTTGATATAGGGTGTTGATCTCCTTAGGCCACACCCTCCCTCATTACACAATACACATCACCTGATATGCTTAAATTTAGTTGCCTAATAATTGTGCACATAGTGTTGCGTACATCACTGGACGGTCAGAACTGTCAATCAAATAATCTTGAGCTGCCTGCATGCTGCCTGCCTGCGCACAGACCTCTCTCCTAAAAAAAGTATGTTAAAGTTTGTTAAATACCATGACATACCAAGACATTTGGTAGACAGAAAACAGCTAGCTACCCTACCATAAAAACAAAAAAAACAGCTTAAAACAAAACAGCAGAACATCAATCAGCAACGTGTATTGTTGTCATGGAAAAGATACCGAACATTCTATGCCTGAGCAGAATTCTACTGTCTGAAAAGGTAGACGCTTCTGATGCAGCACTTTTTAAAAATTGTCTGAAAGATTTTCACTATCGATACGTTACTGTAGCGGCGTTCTGTGTCAATATAGGATATTGAAGGGATACGACACCATTCTTCCTCAATTTTATCATGTTTTTTTCTTCTTGGTGGTTGTTCCAGAATCTCCCATAAGTGTTCAATTAAGTTAAGATCTGGGGCTTCATTTATAAACGTTGCATACATTTTAAACAAAAAATATTGAGATTTATAAACTTAGCGTAAAACTGTGCGTGCATGAACGAGCATTATGACTGCCTGAATAACACCCATCATTCACCTTTCATGGTGACAATCTCAAACAAATGCTTAGCACTGAGGCGGTGTGCCCTAGCAGGAAGTCGACTGTGTGCAGCTCACCATGTACTAACATAAATAACCTGGGCATGTCTACCTCTGCTAAGCTTCCCTGTAAAGCAAGAAAAACAATCAAGCATCCCAGAAAAGTGTTAAAAATAGCCCACGTTAACATATGTAACTTAAGAAACAATGGTCATGAAATCAATAATTTGCTGGTAATGGATGACATTCATATTCTGACAATCTCTGAAACTTACTTAGATAATACCTTTGGTACAGTGGTAGCAATACATGGTTATAAGATCTACAGAAAAGCCAGAAATGCCAAAGGTGGAGGTGTGGCTGTTTTTATATTCAGAACCACATTCCTGTAAAGCTTAGATCATCTCGTGTTAAATACTGTTGAAGTAATATGGCTATAGGTTCATCTGCCTCACCTAAAGTCCATTCTGGTGGGATGCTGCAATAGACCACCAAGTGCTAAGAGTCAGTATCTGAATAATGTTTGAAATGCTTGATGGTATACAGTATGTGATATCAATAGAGAGGTATATTTTCTGGGTGATTTACATATTAACTGGATTTTATCAGGCTGCCCACTCAAGAGAAAGCTTCAAACTGTAACCAGTGCCTGCAACCTGGTTCAGGTTACCAATCAACCTACCAGGGTATTTACAAACAGCACAGGAATGAAATCATCAACATGTATTGATCACATCTTTACCAATGCTGCAGAAAGTTGTTTGAAAGCAGTATACAAATCCATCGGATGTAGTGATCGCAATATATCTAGGAAAACCAAAGTTCCGAAGGCTGAGCCTAATATAGTGTGTAAGATGTCATACAATAAGTTGGAGTGATTCCTATATTGTTGATGTAAAGAATAATTGTTGGTCCGTGGTGTGTAATTAGGAGCAACCAGACGCTGCACTTGACACATTTATGAAATTGCTTATCCCAGTTACTAATAAGCATGCACCCATTAAGAAAATGACTGTTAACATGGTTAAATCCCAGTGGATTGATGAGGAATTTAAAAATTGTATGGTTGAGAGGGATGAGGCAAAATACATGGCAAATAAGTCTGGCTGTAAAACCGATTGGCAAATGTACTGCAAATTGAGAAATCAAGTGACTAAACTGAATAAAAAGAAGAAGAAACTACACTATTAAACGAAGATAAATGACAAGGAATTATACTTAAAAGCTTTGAAGCACCTTAAATGACATTTTGGGCAAAAAGCAAACTCCGCTCCATCATTCAGTGAATCAGATGGCTCATTCATCACAAAACCCACTGATATTGCCAACTACTTTAATTACTTTTTCATTAAGATTAGAAAACTTAGGCATGACATGCCAGCAAAAAACACTGACACTACACATCCAAGTACAGTACCAGTCAAAAGTTTGGACACACCTACTCATTCAAGGGTTTTTCTTTATTTTTTTACTATTTTCTACATTGTAAAATAATAGTGAAGACATCAAAACTATGAAATAACACATATGGAATCATGTAGTAACCAAAAAGGTGTTAAACAAATCTAAATATATTTTAGATTCTTCAAAGTAGGCGCCCTTTGCCTTGATTGACAGCTTTGCACACTCTTGGCATTCTCTCAACCAGCTTCACCTGGAATGCGTTTCCAACAGTCTTAAAGGAGTTCCCACATATGCTGAGCACCTGTTGGCTGCTTTTCCTTCACTCTGCGGTCCAACTCATCCCAAACCATCTCAATTGGGTTGAGGTCAGGTGATTGTGGAGGCCAGGTTATCTGATGCAGCACTCCAACACTCTCCTTCTTAGTCAAATAGCCCTTACACAGCCTGGAAGTGTGTTGGGTCATTGTCCTGTTGAAAAACAAATGATAGTCCCACTAAACCCAAACCAGATGGGATGGCGTATCG